AAGTCATCCATTTAAGGGTGTTGCCTCTGAAACTGGAGTCCATCAGCCTGACAGGTGAAGCCCCAGCAGTCTGCTTACAAATAAGAGAAATATGTTAAACGGAAGTTCAGTGAACACACACGTTCTGGAACAAGAATGAGTGGATAAAACAACCAGAACTTTTCGCCAGAGTTTACAGCCTGTGAACACGAAGAAGAAGATCTGACATTCTGCATCAAAAAGAGACAGTTTATATTTCTGTGCACGTTGTGAGAAGGGTAGAACAGCTTGACAGTTTTAGTAGAACAGCTTGACAGTTTTAGTAGAACAGCTTGACAGTTTTAGTAGAACAGCTTGACAGATTTAGTAGAACAACATGACAGTTTACGCAAAAGTTGCAGGCTAAAAGAGGCAGACAAAGGAAAAAGGAAGATGATACTGATCAGCTGATAATTTCTGTACTTTTTCTCATGACATCATTTATAAGGAGTATTTGGCGTGACAAATTACATGTGACCCAACTAGACAACCATGTTATACATAGTAGTAGAATAAAACTTCGACAGTAATTTGCTACATTATTTTGGATATGTGGATTATAAAAGTGTCTCTTGGATGAAGGACTAAGGGATTGCACAGTATACCATTAACTTCATGATGGAAACATACTGACCAATTAAACATAGTTTCCTGTAAGCTTTAACTAACAGATATATTTCAGATTAAAACAGGGGTGTCACAGGGATATCTTTTGCCACCTAGAATTTTCTGACTGACTTAGTAGGTTAAAGTAGACAATGAAGTGAGGAACATAATTCAACAGACTCTGGCATCATCATCATGTGCTCTGCTGATAAGTGTAGGCCTTCTTGGTTCACCCTTCCTCACAACCACCAGAATTACGGATTAGCTTAGTGAACAAGTCTTTTGTCCTTTCCTTGTGGTCAAGCCATCCAGATATTTATCTTCCTCTTTTCTTTGCTTTTTTTTCTGATCAATCTTGCCAACTGTCGCCAGGTTTTCAAATTTCTTTCTTTTTCTAAGATGTCCTAAAATACTGACACTCCTTGCCTATGTCCTAAAATACTGACACTTCTTGCCTATGTCCTAAAAGACTGACACTTCTTGCCTATGTCCTCAAATACTGACACTCCTTGCCTATGTCCTAAAATACTGACACTCCTTGCCTATGTCCTAAAATACTGACACTTCTTGCCTATGTCCTAAAATACTGACACTCCTTGCCTATGTCCTAAAATACTGACACTCCTTGCCTATGTCCTAAAATACTGACACTCCTTGCCTATGTCCTCAAATACTGACACTTCTTGCCTATGTCCTAAAATACTGACACTTCTTGCCTATGTCCTAAAAGACTGACACTCCTTGCCTATGTCCTAAAATACTTACACTTCTTGCCTATGTCCTAAAATACTTACACTTCTTGCCTATGTTCTAAAATACTGACACTTCTTGCCTATGTCCTAAAAGACTGACACTCCTTGCCTATGTCCTAAAATACTTACACTTCTTGCCTATGTCCTAAAATACTTACACTTCTTGCCTATGTTCTAAAATACTGACACTTCTTGCCTATGTCCTAAAATACTGACACTCCTTGCCTATGTCCTAAAATACTGACACTTCTTGCCTATGTCCTAAAATACTGACACTCCTTGCTTATGTCCTAAAATACTGACACTCCTTGCCTATGTTCTAAAATACTGACACTCCTTGCCTATGTCCTAAAATACTGACACTCCTTGCCTATGTTCTAAAATACTGACACTCCTTGCCTATGTCCTAAAATACTTACACTCCTTGCCTATGTCCTAAAATACTGACACTTCTTGCCTATGTCCTAAAATACTTACACTCCTTGCCTTTGTCCTAAAATACTGACACTCCTTGCCTATGTCCTAAAATACTGACAGTCCATGACCATGTCTTCCAGTTAGTTTTCATTTTTCAACTGTCTTGGGGAGAACTTCTGTGTTGTTTTTTTTCTCTCTTGTCCACTCTGTTTTCCGTTTTTGCGCTCTCCTACAAAAAAGGTTTCCTCATAGCAGGTCTTTTTGGGGCTTGTCTGTTTATTGTCCAAGACATTGCAGGATGGTGATCTGGCTTCAGCTGACCACGCTGCTCTCCTTTCCTTTCACAAAATATTAAACATACTTGATGGCACTCTACGCCTTCACAGCATGACAATAGCCAGTGGCAGCCAACGTGCACTGTAACGCAAATTATTCCTCCCCACGACGCTTAATGGCAGAAGTGGTTTATGATGATGATGACGATGACTTGATGGCAGCTCAAAACAGTCAGGTTTAAAAATGCACAGTGAAAGGCAAAATGAAATGAAACCAGGCAAATGATAAACTGAGTCCTTGACTGATATCCCTGATTATGTATAACTGGTGATGACTCACCATGTCAATAAAATATCTCAGAAAATGAAAAACTGATTACATAATCAACAATGATTTTTCTGCGTCTAATAAAACAATAACCAAGCATATCAACGAGTTACCACTGTAACATCGCTAGACCATATTCAACGAAATCCCCTGCAAAATTTCAAGAGACAGAATCATACACATAATCATGCAGATGACAAAGATGGCAGAACAGGGAGGGTCTTCAAAATGAAATAAAATGTACACATGGTAGGAGGAGTTGACACAGCTTTAGCAAGCCACAAGAAATTAAAATTCAAACTTCAAATCAGCGCTGCTGACTGGATCCCAAACATGCACAATAACGGAAACAAATACCATGTGAGACAAGGTCTTATATTTTTCTTCATCTTCGTGTTCACCGTCTGTAAACTCCGGCAGAAAGTTCTGCTTGTTTGACCACCTCTAGACTTTAGTCTTGTTCCAGAACCTGAGTGTTGCATGCATATCTGTTTAACAGATCTGACTTAACTGTATGCATACTGTTGGTTCCTTGCCTCTCAGGCAGATGCACGCCGACTTTGAAGAAAGTCCCCAATTAGTCGACTCAAACGACATGCTTGTCGGCAGCCAGTGGGGCTATTCTTGTTTTCACCATAATGGGGCCCCAGAACCCACACAGGGAAAAGGTCTTATATTTATGTGTCCTCTTTAGGAGGCATTAGGACATATTTAAGGGATCTCTTCTCTCTCTCTCTCTCTCTCTGTGTGTGTGTGTGAGTGTATACATAAACAAATATATTTTAATTCAAGTTTAAGCAGGTACTGTCTTATTTTCAGGAAAACATAGTAATTTAAAAACATTCTCAAACTGGAGCTTGCAGACAAAAGATGGAGGATGACAGAATCAATAACTTTTGGAGAAAACTAACAAATTCCAGTGAATCATGAGGTAAAAATAGGACACACATCACTGAAAGCTGTTTGTACTATAGTCAGAAAGTCCTTTTTTTCAGGTACTCACAAAGTTAAAGAATCTGAAGGAGACCTGAAAATATTTAGAGAAGAGAATTAATGACAGAGATAAATAATATGCAGAGGATATTAAGGCAGATGCACACGGCAAAATTTAAGAGAGCTTGGCCTGAGCTGACAGCAGTTCTATACTCCATTGGAGAATAAAAGGCAGAAGCAGGTTTATGAAATAACTGTCACTGAACTGATCAGTGGACACAAAGGTTTATGAATAACTGTCACTGAACTAAGATTTATGAATAACTATCACTGAACTGAGATTTATGAATAACTGTCACTGAACTGAGATTTATCAAATAACTGTCACTGAACTGAGATTGATGAATAACTGTCACTGAACTGATCAGTGGACACAAAGGTTTAAGAATAACTGTCACTGAACTGAGATTTATGAATAACTGTCATAAATTATCACGGAACACAAGATTTATAGAACAACTGTCAGATTAGCAGACACAACGATTTGTCAAATAACTTGCATTTAACAGATCAGTTGACACACAGATTTATCACCATTTATAACACTATATCACAGTGATCAATCAACACTACTGAAAAAAATTGTGAATATTAATTAGTAATATATCTGAAAATTTGATTTGGTGATCCTATTCATGACACACCACTGAAACAAGACTAATTGAACTAAGAAATAATTATCACACAAAGGTAACATAACTGACCACAACAATGAAACATCACTGATCAATTATAGAAACATAACTTATCACATAAATGAAACGCCATTAATGACATTTATAAAAGATCACTGCATTCCCCATGGAAACATCACTTGTCGTGCCAAATATCATTAATCACATCAATGAAACGTCTCTAAAATATCAATGTAATATTTTGACTATATCAATCAATAATGACTAATCATGGCATTAAAACATCCCTGATCAAATCAATGAAACATCATTGATTATATAATCAGCAACGACTGGCCATGTCAAAAAACATCCCTGGCAATGAAACACTGATCACATAATCAATCATGATTTACTGTGTACACTAAAATATCACTTCACGAACCTCATCTACCAGCCATCACTTATACCATCACTAAATCCCATCTAATGAAATCAAGCCACCGTTGCTACTGAAGAATAATCTAAACCATCTCCCCACACCTTCTGCCTCAGTAGGGACTTGAACCCAGAACCTTCCATGTAGAAGGTGGATGTGCTAACCACTGCAATGCAGAAGATCCTCCTGACCACATTCTGTTCAACTGATGTTGAAGAATGAGCACATATATCGGTGCCTCAAGTGCTATAACAAAGATTCTATCTAACCAATCTAACACCTCAAGTGATATAACCAATCTAACGAACTAACGACAATTAACATCACATTTGTAAAGTCATGGGGATTGAACACGTGCCAACAAACAATAATAATAATAAAGAAAATTGATATTTAAAATAAAAGAAGAAAAAAAAGAGGAAAGGAACAGCCCTCCATCTTTCTTTTTACCCACAATTCCCCCCCCCCCCCCAGTCTCAACTTCCTGCATGCACTTCAATTCCAAAATGGCTGACTGCCTATGGCAGTTGATTTCGGTGAGTAATTTAACGAGGGCTGTTAGTCTCTGGAGCTCCCTATGATGGATAAAATGAAGATGAAAAGGTTGACAATGTCCAGGTACAGGTTGAGAGCTGCAAAGATGTATTCCTCTGGAGACAGGGAGTACTGATGTTTGCCTCCCAACATCAGCTGTGTGTCAACAACCAGGTACTGAAACAGAACAGGCAAATTAGGTTTTAAACTATATAAACTGTAACAGACAAACAAGATTAAATACAGAAAACATACACATAAGGTTAAACATATAAACAAGAGACAAACAAGATTAAACATTTAAAACACACAAACAAGGTTAAACATATTAACTATAAGTGACAAACAAGATTAAACATTTAAAACATACAAACAAGGTTAAACATATTGACTACAACCAACAAACGAGATTAAACATATAAAACAATCAAACAAGGTTAAACATTTAAATTACAAGATTAAACGTTTAAAACATACAAACAAGGTTAAACATATAAACTACAAGAGACAAACAAGATTAAACATTTAAAACATACGCAACAGGTTAAGCATAATGTTAAGAATGTCTATCACTGTCCCTTGCTTTTTTTTTAAATGAACTGACATAAACTGCAGTCTCAGCAAGTCCAGCAGCAATCATACATATAAAATGCAAAAGGCAGCAGTCAACAGTGCCAACACAAACAGTCCAACACTTGAAATGCAGTTCATCCTCAATAGAAGCAGCAGTTTCAACAGATCAGTTGTTGCAAACGCAATTAATTGCATAAGGCACCAAAAGTTCTCTGGCAACAGGCCCTTCACCATTTTATGAATTTGCAGTTCGCATCCCAAACCATGTTGGGCAGTCAAAAAAGCAGTCCAAATGAACTCTGAATGCTCATAGTGTCGCACCATGAGCATAAACTCAGTAGCTGGCAAATGGAACTATATACTTTCAGTCCCATAGAGAAAAATACAACAGCTAACTATAGTCAGAAGCAAAAGGTTGCTACAACTAAAAACAGTAAACCTGTCTATCTGCCATACTTGCTGTCACTCACTGTGTTTTTTGTTCTGACAGTGAGCAACACATGATACATCTAAAGCAAATAATGGACCACTGTGAACTGTGATCATGAAAGACAATAAAGAGTGAGACAATGAAGACTATAAAGCTGTCTGCTGCAGACAAACAAAACATCTGGTACTTACCGCTGAAAAGATGAGAGCACCAATTGAAGCATACACAATGTTCAAAACCTGAAATACAGAAAATATATAAATCATCAGCAACAAAATTCAAAATGCAATAGTGTAGACACATAAGATTTACCAGCCTTTTCAAAACCACGCACGCACGGCTCAGTATAAAAGAATAGGAAATAAGGCAGGCATGAAACAGAAACAATATCCTCCAGATGTGTCCTGAAATAGTCAGGAATTAAACCAAAGTTCACAATAAGAAAGTACAGCAGATACTTACCTCCTTAGAAAACAACACTGACATGCTACAAGAATACAATAGAAGGAAGAATCATCATCAATTACTCCGTGCGATGATAACAAGACCTAACGGAACCACATAAAACCTTATCTGATCAAGTACTGCACAATAAAGATCCCAAACATAAGCAACCGTTCTGAGGAGCTGAAACACTTGAACTCGATCAAACTTATTTTTGTTCTGCAAATAGAACACTTATCAAGGGAAAATACAAGGAATTGTGTAGAGAACAAACTAAAGGTAAACATCCACAAGACCCATCAGCAGACTTAACAGAAAGCAGCACACAACAATATTCCACCTACAAACAGGACACTGCAGGCTCAACTACCACATGCATAAAATAAAGACTGTACCATCCCCACACTGTGCCTGTCAAACAGGACCACAAACACCTGAGCACATTCTGCAGACCTGCTCACTCTACCTACAACTTCGAAAAGACATATGGCCTCAAGAGCAAAGTGTGCAGAGCAAGCTACAGGAAACCATAAATCACCTGCTGCTGGCTGACGCGCGAGTTCATAGAGACAACCCACCTGATGGTATGATCTGGGCCTACGAAATCAATCGCAAAGAAGAAAAAGTTCTACAAATGGACTGGATTGGATTGGCAGGCATGAAAAAATCTGGAGCCAACATCTTGCTGAGTATGATCAAAAAAGGAGAACTGGTTCAATCCTATAGATTACATAAGTAGGACTGGTCCAATTACCCAAATAAGATCATATAAAGTTCTCAGAAGCTATGCTTTCACTCCTGTATCAGTGCTGGGGATCCCAATGTGGCTGCAAGTCACATATTCTACAGTCTGCTGTGGTAATGCTGTGCTGACATTGGAAGCTCAATTTCCCGGCCAGCAAGATATATTTCTCCAAATGTGCACGGTTTCAAGGCCAAGAGAGCCTATAAAAGGACCACCACAGCTATGTAACAGTGGTGAGTAGAGTCACCTCTACTTAAGTCAGGACCCAGTCTACGTGAAGTCTCCTCTCTTCTTACTCCTTTATTAGTATTTTTCATGAAATCAAGTCTGGCTTAATCTAACTTCTGAAGAATGACCTTACTTAACGTCTACCAGACCACTGGCCCGCTATTACGGAAATTCCCTAACCTGCCGCTAAACCACTCTCCCTCAATGTCAGGAATTTGCGTACTCTGAGAAAACAATACGACAAGAACTAAAAATAACTAGCCAATCATAATCAGATCTCGTGGATAGTCTTCTCAGATGTCTGCCCGCACGTGCTTGGATTAGTGTTGATTTACATGAAAAAATTCTGAAAATTCACAATAAAACAAGCGGCTGGTGAACCAAGCACTTCGACAGGGAAGTGAAGTAGGTCTAGGCTTTTCACAGTCCAACAGGTCATCGATACTTTGGTTTATTCAGACTCTGCGGAGTCATCATTTCATGAAAAATATGTTGCCAGTTGAAGTGACAGTCAGTGAGAGCTGGAATGATGAGAAGAATCTTGAAAATTATATGTCTAGAAATAGATCGAAAGCAGGAAAAGGGGGGCGTGTCTCTTAAACAGCAACATCTGGTGCTCACTTTGTAAAACAAGGTTGATCCTGCTGGGTGGATTAGCACACAAAGGTGGAATATTGGCACTAGATGAAAAGTAAACCTATTTTCTACGTCTCCAATTTTCTTCCTATTCTAGCCACTTGTTTGCATGTAACTAATATTTGTGTTTATCAAGTTGTTTTTTTTTCCGCGTTAATGACCAGCAGCTCAGGTATAGGGGGCAGTTATGTTCAGGGCCTCAGGTCTGGTAGGGTTAATATTTTTTATTACCCCCTGTAGGAATTGAGCCATGGTAGTGTAACTGCTAGGTGCTCGCCCTACGACCCAAAGACTCTGAATTTCAATCTGCATTTTTAAAAAACCATTCTGGCTCCCAAGTGACCTAGCCTGAAATGTATTAATATTAAAGACATTCTACGCCTTTACAGCATGACGATAGCCAATGGCAGCCAGCGTGCACTGGGTCACAAATTATTCCTGCCCATGACGCTTAACTGCAGAAGTGGTTTCTGATGATGATGATGTCAATTAAACAGAAATAATTAAATAAGCTTACCCTGCTGGGGATAATTGCACACAAAAGTCCGAAGCAGATGAGGACAATCACCAGAACAAACAGCATACCACCCATCATGGTGAAGTCCCACTGGAGAGAAAGAAATAAGATTAGATCACCCGTGTGACACCCAAGGTATTTTTTGTTTAAATGCTTTTTAACTTCTGTTCCATGTCTTTAGTGCTTCTCAAATTTTCAGTGGCTTATGCTAAAACTAAAATAATATTAGAACTGAAAATATGTAATTTGGCTTTATAAAAAATATTTGAATAAAGAAGACACAAACAACAGACTGCACAATTTATTGCCTGAAATATTTTGCTGTATCCCCCTGGTGCATTCTACAGTAACAATTACATAAAAGAAGCAAATATGTGAAAATGTTTTTACGTAATTGTTACTGTAGTATGTCACTGACGAGCATTACAATTTGCATGAACATGCATTTTAGAGTTACACCTTTCATTTGATCCAAGTGTGTCTTTACAATGAGCAGCAGCCAATCTATCAACCTTTTCATTGCCCTGCACTCCAACATTTCCTGGACAGAATGTTGTTTTCCTGATCTGAGTCTTATCAACCAACACAAGCCTCCCTACTTACAGGACACACCCTTTTCTCTTTTCTGAAGCAGGCTCTGTGAGCCCATTATAATTACATGTCAGGATGCACTACTCCCTAGCCATGCCTTTTACTGCTTCTGGTTCCATTCTCATGTTAGGAGAGATGTTGCAGGTAAGGCTTTCTGGGTGTGTGTGGTTTTTTTTCAATGTTCAATGTCTATTCAATTTTGCAATGAAACCCCACCCACTCTGTCTACTTCTCACTACAGACCATCTGATTATATAATGTCATCACTCGGGCAAGAATTGCCATTGATCAGCATAGCAAGTTAAAGCCATTTGCTACCGGTGATTGGAACTGGAGTTAATCATATGACAAGGCTGATGGTAACTTGCGTTGTATTTTACAGTGAGGCTGCATATCTGCACTTCTCGACCCATCAAATCTTTTTCAGCACACTCCTAACCTGTCATCTTTTACTGCATCACCTGGGCCATGGAACCTACATGGGGAAAAAAAATCCATTCATGCCGACGCTGCACAAAGAAGAAATAATGTGTTCATTTATTCACCATTTTAAAGAGGTCAGTTAATTCATCAAACAAAACAGCAGTGACAACAGAAAGACAGGGAAAACACAAACACTCACTCTAGTCTGGAATGCAAAGATTGTCAGTGCCAAGGCTACGAGCTGAAAATAACAACAATTAAAGTAAAGATTATGTTATGTAGAATATAATTCAAACTAAGTGTTAATCAAAAGCTTATTCAAGAAGCATTAACCCTTCTGCTCTTTTACAAATTACCCTTTTCAAAATTTCATTAAAAAGAAAGTCATCTTTATAATTTTTTTAAAATTCTACCATAAGAAACTAGCGGAGGAGAAGAAGCAGCAGAAGATATTTTGGTCTTCTCCAGTTTTTATAAACACCCAGCAGATTGAACGCCTAAACCACAGCAAATTTTTAAAGAAATTAATCACTAAACATATACAGAGCAAAGAATTAACTGCTACACTCCGCTATGACCAGGATAAACATGGTTTTGTTGACTGAGCATGGGAAGCAAAGTGATGACATTTTTTTTTTTAAAGCTTTATTTCTACTCTTCATATCTGAAATTGTTTAGGTGGTACGTACAGTCATTTCCACCATGTCTACAAACTATGCAGTTACAGACAATACCAAAGCTGTGATACGGGCAAGGTAGCCATTGTCAAAAGATGTCAACAGAATCCTATATTTTCAGGGGAAAAGGCCTGCTCAGAGCAACAGGGTTTATCCGCTAACATTTATCAAGTAACATTGAAATGTTCTTTCAGAGTAGAGTACATATATTAGTTACTTTCCACGCTTCTTCCTCCTCCTCCACACTCACTCGCACTTACACACACAAATCCCCCTCCCCATAAAAAAATACAAGAATTTAAACATTAAACTCACAACTACAATTGTCTTTGTCTTTATATTTTTGGTACTTGTAGTATTTTTGCTGGAGGTCAAATTAAATGAGAACTAATATGAAACTTACAATTTTTTAAATTCTAATGTCAAATCAGTGCCGCTAGGTATGACAGAAGAAAAATATTTCTGCCTCTGTACATATGACAACATGTAAAAGAACTCAATAAAAACTATAGTCCCATTATATTAGAACAAATAACCGTCAGAATGAAATAACTCACTGAAAAATATTATTACATTAAACCAGAACTAGAAAATGTTAACATGAACATTAAAACAGAACTGGAAAATGTTAACATGGAAGAACTCAATGAAATCTATTGTCACCTTATAACAGAATAAATAAATGGCAGAATAAAAGAACTCAATGAAACTGTAGTCACAGAACAAATCACTGGAAGAATAAAAGAACTCAGTAAAAACTATAAGTACATTATAACAGAACTGGAAAGTATGAAAGATCTCAATTTAAATTACTGGACCCAAACAGTAACTTTATATGACTGTGAACGTATTAGACATGGGACAAACCAATGTCAACATATCTCTATTAACAAGAGATTATACTCAGAACAACTGATCATTCAAAGCAGCAATATCAACAAATAAGACCACATTACTGAGAGATAATAAACAGAAGCAATGGTCACTTACGGCTGTAATGCCAACGGCCATGAGCACTTCATCTCTTCCATAGTGGCTAAGGAAGAAACAAATAGTCAGAGAAAAATGGCAGTGTTGAACAAAGGGCGATGATCTTAAAACACATTTTACCATAAAAGTCTACGAGAATCAACAATATCCTTCCTTCCAAAGGTGGCACCACGCCAGCACAGAAGAAACTAACAAACGTTTTTTCTTTTTGTCCCAGGTTTGTCGTTTCACCTGGTTATCTGACCATCTCGTTCAAAAAAGTTGTATGTCTTTTAACTCTCTCAATTTCTCGCAGCAAATGCCCAAGGAAATAAATTACTACTATGAAAAGTCACAAATTCATAAAATTCAAACAGGCAAATATGGAAGCCAGATTTATTTAGCGCGCTGTTACCAGTTGTAAAATGGAGGTGACCACACATACATGATGGGTGGGATCCGTGTGGAAAAGGCCATTATGAATCACGTTACATGGGACCAAAAGTGTTAACGTGGCAAAACACTATTTGTTTCTCTCTCTCTCTCCCCTTTTCAACTATTTAAATAATTTTTTGTTTCCATAAAATATAACCTTTTCTTCTGTCCATCCACGTCTCTAATACCTCATATTGAAACTAATACTTTTTTTTTTCATGCCAAGGCTCATTTGGATAATTTTAGAATCTTTCGTGGGCCAATCAAAATTATGAACTTTAAAAATGTGCCCCCACATCCGAAAAATCATTGTTAATAAAACTACATTCATCTGGATTTGTGCAGAATAGGGAGAATTAAATGTTATGACACAATCACTTATGTGGAGCTTTAGGAAAGAACTAAACAAATTACAGTGGATCAAGAGGTGAGTAAATGATGCTGGTGTTGGATATGCCATTCACTGAGAAAAACAAAGTATAGCTAAAATTTCACAGGGTCAAAAGAACAAAGTCAGACAACAAACAAATCAAACACAAGGAAAAGAGAATCAGAAAGTGAAATAAAAACAAATGAAGTCGGGAGAACATCATGTGACGAAAATGTGACTGGAGGACATGGTGTGAGTATTAGATTATAAAATCTAATGCTTCATTGGAGAACGGCAGAACATTTCACAGCAGTTGCCTTGAAAGGGCCAGACCACATTATAAGGCCTACATGCTAGATGTTCCCCACCCATGTCCTAACTGCTTGTAAACCATCCTGTTTCTTTGACATACTGTAGTGTTTAGTGTGTAGTGCTTAGCAAGCATAACCTTTGATAAGTCTCATTTTAATGTGTTCTCTCTTTAGATAGATTTTTCTCATGCTGTTAAAAAAATATAAAAGGGATCTTCTTCTTCGTGTTCACAGAGACTGAACTCCAGCGGAAAGTTCTGGTTGTTCAGCCACCTTTGGACTTTAGACTTGTTTCAGAACCTGAGCGCATCCATTTTACCAATCCGATTTATCCGTATGCAGACTTGGTTCCTTGCCTCTCAGGCAGAAGCACTCTGACTTTGAAGCAAACCCCCAATCAGTCAACTCCCACGGTATGCGCGTTAGGCAGCAGTGGGTCTATTCTTGTTTTCCCTCATAATCGGGCTCTGAAACCCACATTTGGAACAAAAGGGATCAAACTGAGAAGAAAACGACAAACAGAAGCAAGCACAATTCCCACATTTCACATCTACCACGAGTTGTTCAACAGCAAATATGTGCGACAGAAGGCTGTGGTTTACATGGCTAGAAACCCCACTCGACTATAAGAAGACATTCAGCAGCAGAATAAACCTTACAAACACAAGGGATTGATCACTTAGTGACTACATTTGTTTACCTGGACACAGCTCCCAGCAGAAAGCCTTCGCACAAAGTCTGAAAAAAAAATCATATAAGGACGAGGATCATATACAACATTACATGGCTATGAAAATATGAGAAAATATACAACGCTACGCAGCTGTGGAAATATGAGAAACATATATATAACATTTACACAGCTAGGAAATGTGAAACTACCAAAAATATGACACAAAAAGTGAGAACAGAACACAGAGAATAATACACAAAATGAAAACAGAGTACAAAGAATGAACAACAACACAAAAAACAGGATAGAATACAAAGCATAATACATAAAATATGAGAAAGCATAAGAACATTAAACAAAACATGAGAATATAAACAATATTACACAGGCCTTTAAATAGACAAGAACTCCCTCGGTGACGTTGTTAGAACCTGCCTGTAAGCAGAGAAGTAATGGATTCAACTCCGCACCAGGGCACATTTTTATAAATAATCCTAGATCCGAGACCAAATATTAGGAAATGTCATAGGAAATACAAGTGGCTGGCAATAAGTCGACTATATAACCTATCAAGTGCCAACTGGTCTTAAAAAAAAATGGGTCAAGCACCATACATTCCAAAGCGCCAATGGCATACAAATGGGTTTTTAATTTCAATTAAGGAAAATGGTGAACACCGACAATTTACAAGCCATAGACATTTGAAACTGAAATACTTCAGCCACATTATATCCAATAATGGTTTGGAGAGAGCAGTAACGGAAGGTATGTTTTCTGGGAAATGAGGCAGGGGTTGACCAGCATGTTGGTGGGCACACAATGTTAAAAACAGCCTGCGCATGAAAGCTCACAAGGCAGGGAAAAATTTGCAGGGATCATGAACTCTCGTGGCTTGTCATTCCCTTCATGGGTTCCAGGGCTCCATGGGAGAAGGAAGGGGGGGAGATTGCTTCCCCAATAGACGTGTCATAAAAGGTTATTAATTAGGAGTTTGCTTCTAATGTATGCATTTGCAGAATCTGTTATAATAATATTTTCGTGTTTTTTTGTTGTTGCAGTTTCATTATTTGAAAAAAAAAAAAAAAAAAAATTTCTGAACTAATAATAAACCCAACAACCTAGGACATGTTTGTTTTCATTAGCAGTTTGTACATTTACCCTTAACCTAATTAACTATTTGACACTTTAATTTGTGCAGAAGTTTTTATCTCCAGTTTCTGTTAACAGAGCTTGGGATTTTTCTTTGTCATCCTATTCTTTTCGATCCCATTTTTTTTTTAAATGTTGTGGGACATGGTGGGAGGATGGAGTGGGTCATGGGGATCAAGCCATATATTCGGGGGTGGGCCCTACCTGGAAAATAAAAGGTTAAAAACCACTGGAGCAGATAGTTTAGCAAGGTATCAGGGCAGCCGAAGCTCAAAAAAAAAAACACAGCATTACGCATCACCTCCTTGTAATGCTAGTACAGGACAATCAGGGAAAACCAAAAGGGGGAAAAAAAGAGGTATCTATTTGTATGGTACCAAGAAAATTCCTGCCCATTTTGGGGACTGAACCCAGAAAACAGTCCCAACCACCTCCTTTTTCCAGGTTTTCAAAAAAAAAAAAAAAGTTCAACAGTCCCAGCTAAAAAGTGAAGATTTTATAGTTATGTAAACATGTGCTATCCTGGAATTTCTATACAGTTCTGGAAACATATGCTGTACAATTCCTGAAATGTGCTATATAGTTCTTGAAACATTTGCAAATTTACTTCTAGGCATCTCTATATAGTTCTGGGAATTTCTATATAGATCTGGAAACATATGCTGTACAATTCCTGAAATGTGCTATATAGTTCTTGAAACATTTGCAAATATACTTCTAGGCATCTCTATTTGGTTCTGGGAATTTCTATATAGATCTGGAAACATGTGCAATACAAGCATCAATAAGGCATTAAAATGTGATTACACTTGTCATGCTAAAACATGTTAATATTTACATAAATACTTACAAATGCCATAAGCAAAATCATGTTAATGGGCGACTGTCTTCTGAAATCAGGGCAACATGCTAAAACTATCAGAATGACGAATGTGAGCACACTAGACAATAAAAGAGAAAAAAATAAAACAAATGTTACTAGGAAGCCTAAATTTACAATAATCAAAAAGATTTTTCAACAACAAAAAAGAGGAGGAAGACAGCAGAGGAAAAGGAACGAGAGAGACAAAGAGAAGTTATATAACTATAAAAGATAGAAAGAATAATAATGAGAGGAAGAGAAATCATACAAAGTATGAGAGAGAGAGAGACAGAGAAAGAAATTTGGAGGGAAAGAGACAGAGAGATATAAAATGAGAAAGAGACTGATTAAACCTCTTTACCTTTATTAACTTCCAGGCAGAGAGAGAAAGAGAAAGAGAAAACAGAAAGTTACACACACACACACAAAAAAAGTGGCAAATACAGACAAATAGAGACATGTAGAGAAAGAACTGACAGACTAAGACATAAAAAGGAAAGATAGCATAGGTGTTCCAGCAACAGATGAAAGGTAGATGGAAAAAAAAAACTCTGAAAAGATCAGATGCAATTGTCTATCAGCTGACAAGAGCAAAACAAAAGCAAACTAATCACAATGCAACATCATCTATATAGCCACTATGTTAAGGTGAGGTAACTAGGCATGCAGAAATAACGCGATAAAACTATTCAGTATAAATTTTGAGCCATATCCACAATGAACGCTGGCTACATCTTCCATGGTGTGACTCTTGTACCACTGCCAGAGAACATACATATTTTTTTTTTTAAATCAGCCATGTGGAAATCTCACGTGAGTATTCGAGAGTCATGAAACTGTTAAACAAATTCACTAACTTCTAAGCCACAGAGCCATTCAATGAAATAAACAGGACATTTAAAAAAAAACAATTTAGTGTCTTTACCGCTCATGTTCTTTAATCATTAAACAGATTGTTACTGGTACCATCGGATTGAGAAACTGTGCTTGCTGTTGAAGATGGGGATGGAAAATTCAGTTGCTTCCCTTCGCAGAATGTCACAAACCAAGACCCAGCATTTTTGTCTGCTGTAGCTTTTACTGGTCAATTTTACATTAGGTAGTTTGCCACTGCTGTCTAAAAGGTTGATGCCTGTACCATCTTTACAACCAATGCAGTGGTCCATTGTCAAATCGTCTGCAGCTGTACTGAGCCCAGAATGCTAGAATTATGAAAATGTAAGCATAAAATCTGGCCCCAGCTTCAAGCAGCACTCGTTAAAACGCTGCCTTGTAACATTTTCTAGGCCGTGTTGCATAGAGAAGTCTTGAGCCTACTAGCTGAGGGCTGTTCAATTAGAGCAGTCAGCATGAAATGTGCAGGCCAAGATGTAATTTTCTCCAAGCACCTACACACACACACAGATAAATAACACAGTGAAAACTGTTGGCAATAAAAATGAAACTCACAAGGCCAAAATCCACATCCAAGGATTTGAGTTCGAGTAGTGTTTGACTTCATCCCTGAAAATAAACGTAACAGAAATATTTTTGCCTGGCAAACGAGACAGCATTAAGATTATAAGAAAAACAAGTCAGCATAGAATCAATAATGAATTATAAAAAGATAGCAAACAATTTGGTCTGCCCGCTTAGAATGTGGCATTATGTCAAACAATTAAAAAAACATTAATCAAAAGAGGAGATGGGTGTAGAGCCCCATGGATATAAAGAACAAGGTGAAAACATCAAAGAAAGTATAAAATATCTATGGAAGGATAACATCAAAGAAACTGCAGCAGTATGAAGTGTGGATTAAACAATAAATGCTAAGTAAAGAGTCCCCAACAGAGAAACGAGACATACTGCCTCAGCTAGATAATGAAGACAACATCTCTGACACCACAAGGAACTTTTTGGCTTGTTTACAAACCGTACATGAAGTAAGAATATGAGGAGATAAATAAGAAATAAAAAGAACACTTTAGAAAATAAAAACGAAAACAGGAACAACCCATAAAAAAAACAGTACATCTCAGAAACTCATGGAAGCCGCTGTGGTGTAGTGGCTAGATGGTCACCTGTAGATCATAAGGTCGTAGGTTCAGATCACAGCTTTGAGTGGGTACCAGGTGCAGCCCTAGAAAGTAAAGATGGCTGGCATGACCACATCACCCACCATGTGCCGATTTGTGATCTATAAAATATAGTATATGCATGAAGGCGTGGAAAAGGGTCCTTTACTTTGCTCAGGAACTCGTATGCAAAAACATAAAAGAAAGATAAAACAATGAGAACTAAAAACACACACAGAAGAATGAATTGGGAGTCACGGCCTTATGATATCAGGAAGACATAGAATGTGCTGCAGGAGAAGGCAAAGGGTATAATATTTGGGGCCTATGCTCTCAATGTGAAAACTGGGCAGCAGAAGAATAAGTACATTCTCTTTCTAATCTCTCCTGTTGCTCCTAGTATCAAACTCCTATTGCACCTAGTATAAAGTTATCCCTTCTCCTTGCTGTGTGAGTCAAGTATGTTATAACCGGATGACAGCACAAAATAACATAAAATGCTATCTCTGAGGTAGTTCCCCAAAAAACAGATGGAAGGCTATCACGAACGAATGCCTGAAAAAGACAGATGTACCTGCTAGAAAGCACAAATGCTGCAAACAGACACAACATATAATTTTCAGCACTGAGATAAACGAAGGAGAAGAAACCAGAATAGATTTGAGAAATCAGGCATACATGGTCAAGATTTTTCTGATACATTATGGAGACAAATACATTTTTTATGTTTTGTAACAAATGGCAAACTTTATATAAAAGAGCAAGGAGAAGAAAGACAAAAATCTGGATAAACTGACTGTATGTCATTGGCAGGACAAGATCACAAACCAGATCAACGATTTTGGTGATTGTAAGAGATGGCAAACTGTAATGATTTATCTTTACTGGCATGGCACATGATGGTGATGATGATGGCTGACAACAATGCAATTAATCCATTTCAGAACCTAGGTAAAAATTATCAGACTTTCTTGTTCTTGTTAATTCTGGTATTCTTTTATTCCTTGTCAAAACACACAGCCATGTTTCAAATGTAATATCAAGTATTCCTCAATCACTTTTGTCATAAAGTGTTGTGGGGAGGAACATTTTACAGTCCAGTGCTTGATGGGTCACCCTGGCTAGTGTGGATGTACAATGTCTTTAACTTCATCAATCCATCTCCTTCTTGGTGCCCTCTTACTCTCACATCAGATTTTTTAGCAAATCATTTGTTCTTCTGACTTGGGTTCCTCTATGATAAACAAAAAACAAAACAAAACTCAAACGGACTAAATTAAAATATATTTTTTTGTATACTTACACAAAAAGGAAGAGGGATATCATTGCTGCAGTGATGCCAATTTGTATAAACAAGATTGCATACACCTTCCGTATGAAACCTGAAGAAAAAAAAAGACATAAATTACTAATTCATTTATACAACACAGGATACAAGTGTTAGAACAAATGCTGGCTCAGCATATGACCTCAACATCAACTCAACAATACTCATTTGTTTCCTTATTAGCTATAATGTATATCAGCGTCAGTAATATCACTTCTCAATCCATCCTTTACTAAATGTTAATTAATGTAATGTAATACAATTTTGAGAACAAAATATATATGACTGTTAATGAAGAAAATATGATTTCTCTGAAAAGAGCATGACAAGTGTTGCTGCACCCCACTAGGACCGCACAACGAGCGAAGAACATCCAGTGACACTAAGTGCCACCAGTCGAAGAGAATCCCCCGAGCGCAAGTCTCAGGGTCCCAGACTACAGCCAGGATGGGACTTTAAAATAACAAAAAATGTGCATCCAAATTGGGGGGAATATAATAACTCTATTATTAAAATTACTGTAGCTAATAATATGATTTCCTAATACATCCCTTGCTGAATAATGTGTTAATTAATGAAGATTATAAGATTTCTCACCATGCTGAAAATCATGAGAATTAATGTCCCTCAGAAGTTAACAAATTCATAATTCTCTACTCCATTTGTTTTCAGAGGTCTCCTTCTATTTCTTCTGCCATGTGGGCTACAGAGAAAAGAGATTCTACACCACACTTTTAACAATTTTCTTAATATGTCCTACCTAGGGTCATCATCTTCTTCTCACCTCTTGATTTGATGGATTGTCAAAATTAATTATAAAAAGGAGAAAACTGACCATCTACTGAGCTGAAACTAATACAGTAGACAGGAAACTAACTGGCCAGCCCATCTTAAACCAGAACAATAAAGGCATTTCACTCTCCTTCAGGATTTACAACAGCACAGACTCATTAACTTCTAAGTAATAAGGACTGATATTGTGCCAGTGGTGTATCTGGCACATTTGTCAAAATTAATTATAAAAAGGAGAAAACTGACCATCTACTGAGCTGAAACTAATACAGTAGACAGGAAACTAACTGGCCAGCCCATCTTAAACCAGAACAATAAAGGCATTTCACTCTCCTTCAGGATTTACAACAGCACAGACTCATTAACTTCTAAGTAATAAGGACTGATATTGTGCCAGTGGTGTATCTGGCACATGATGCTAGTCTCATCTTTTTTTTAACAGCCCAACTGGCACTAAATGGGTGATGTGGTCAACATCACGCCGGCCACCTTTACCTCCCAGGACATTAGCTGTTACCCATTATAGGATGGCTAAAACTTAGAGCGAGTCGGACTTTTTCAAAAATGACCCTGGTTCCCAGGACGACTCAGCCTTGAGTGGGTAACGGGTGCAGTCCTGGGAAGTAAAGGCAGCCAGCGTGATGTTGACCACATCACCCATATTGTGCCGGTTGGTCTATAAAAATATAGGTCTAGCCCTATACGCCTAAAGGCGTGGAAAATGGTCCTTTTTTTTTTTAACTTGGAGACAAGGTGAATCCTGAAACAGCAACAACAACAAAGATGCAATGCACTCTAGTTTGTATCTGATGATCATTGACAACCAAATAAGGAGCTTGCTTGTAACTGCTCTATTTTTTTTTAAACATACCCAGCCGCACATTCTTCTCCGAAAACGAGCTTTCGTTGAAGTAATTGTCGCCATGCTCTGCATCATACATGATGAAAGATGAATGGGCTTATTCTCCAGACACCGTGCAATACCTGAATGTGGTTTCTGCAAAAAAAATACTGCTGCCATTAATGTTCATGCAGAAGGAGTGACAGATAGACAGCAAATGGAGAAAGCAATATACAAATATATGTGTATTAGTGTGTGTGTGTGCGTGAGACAAAGAGAGAGAGAGAGAGAGAGAGAGAGAAACAGAGAGAGAGAGAGATATGAAATTTATAAAACATTTAGGTCTCTGTAGTTTCATTGTAAAAAAAGTTTTTTTTTTTTTAAAGGGTCAAACAAACAAAAGTCACATGGCGAGAGATCTGGGTGGAGTGTCACATAACTTTCTATCTATTCATTACAACAGCGATCAAATGGTTTTATCAGCAAGCAACGTCCATCTTTGTTCACAGAATCCATCATGTCCTGAAACGATAGATTTGCATGCTTTATGTCTAAGGAGCTTCTGACAAAGTCAGGAGCATGGTTGCTCCCTATTAGTTCTTCACCCTTCCGATCCCTTATGGTCCACTGCTTCAAACATCACTTTCTCTTTGAGGAGGTGATTGGTTTGTAGGCCTACCTAGACAGTCTCTCTCCACAGCCTTCATAGTCTGCCCCGTGATCTACTCCAGTTCAACTTCACTGATTGCATAGTTTTTGTCTCGTTATCAGTAATTTTCTCTATACTTTTGTGGTCTATTAGCCCTCATGATATCATTAATATGTGATGATTTAAATTTAAACAGTTTAAATATTATGCTGATGCTTTTCCCAATTTGTTCCTCCTCATAGTTGCTTTAGTTCTGTCAAACATGCTAATATATCTTTCGGTTCTCCTGTAAACTACGGCCGGTAGACAACAGTAGACGGCCGGTTAGTCAGAGTTCTGTCCCTTGGCTACAATGCAATTACGCAGTGGAGAAGGCACGAATCAAAAAACAAAGTGAGGTCGACATGCCTGGCAGAACCCGCGCTGCGACTCAAATTAGCGACCGCGTTCAATTACCGCTTCTTGCGACGCATTACAGAGTGGATTAGAGGGAACGAAACAAGTGACATAATTACTGTGTGTTGGCGATAGAGTGCAGTGCCCTACTGTCATCATACGGTTAGGGTTTGGGTTAGGGTTAGGGGTAGACTTTGGGTTAGGGGTAGGATTTGGGTTAGGTTTAGGGTTGCTACGTTGGGTTTCTACGAAGACCAGATGCGGCGGCACTAACCGTAACGCTAACCGAAACTCTAACACTAACCCTACCCCTAACCCAAAGCCTACCCCTAACTCTAACCATAACCCAAACCCTAACCGTATGATTATAGCAGGGCAGTGCACGCTGTCTATCGCCAACACACAGCAATTGTGTCAATTTTTTCGTTCGTTCCCTTCTTTTCCACCCCGTAATTGCACTGTAGCCAAGGGTCAGAACTCTGACTAACTGGCCGTCTACTGTTGTCTACCGGCCGTAGTTGACAGGAGAGCCTATCTTTCAAATGTTGGCCATAAAGATATGTGCAAGTGGGATATGAATGGGACTACAGGTATTGAGGTGGACTCATGGGAACAAAATGCCATGGAAATTGTTGTGTGGAGGGTACACATCAGGATGGTAATGAGAATGAAGAATTACTGCAGAAAGGATAAGATCTGAAGAAAAACCCCAAAAAACATAACTGCTGACAATAACAGTCCTGAAATCTCAGACTAATTGTGGAAGCCTTTTTATTTTTTTAACATGGGCGGTCTTGCTAGTCACACTCGCCATTATCATGGGCTGTGAGTTCCATGCCTCCTCTCATGTTGTCTCTTTTACTCACTCCCCCCATACCTTTCTTGGTCAGACCTTTGCCCTGTAGCCTGCTGTTCCCTTGCAGTACTCTCTTAGTTGCAGGGAGATTTCGTTCTATTTTGATCAGATGACCAAACTATTTCTTTCTTCCATTTTTGATGAAATCCCTCACTACTACTGTGCCTACTACTGTTCTTACTTCTTCATTGGTGACTGAATCTCTTCTTGTTTTTCCCCACCACATTTCATATACATCTCATGAATATCCATAACACCATCACTATCCAGAAAATTATTACTTCTGGATTTTACTAATTACACCTGGCCGGATATATTTTCACAGGATGTTGCCACAGAATAAATCCCAGCAGTCTGTTTCTGTTTCACAGTTTTACTAGATAATTTATATTCATTACTTTTTTTTATCGTGGTATGGTACGTCGCAGGTCGACCCAGCCCCAAATGGGTACTGGAATGCGCTGTCCTGGGAAAGTAAAGACGGCCGGCGTAATGCTGACCGCATTACCCACTGAGTGCCGATAGGTCTGTAAAAATATGGGTGCTCTTTCCTATGCCCGATGCGCCTAAGGGCATGTAAAGGGATCTTTACTTTTCTTTTACTTGAATTACTTTGCCACTGCTCACTACATTGTCCACGCTGCACACCATTGTAGTGTAGAAAGCAATGCTACAGTCACATTACATCTGACGTGACTTTAAAAACTACTGATGAACGTGTCAACGTACAACACAAATCACAGTCTTCATAAAGTTCTTAAATTAATAATACTGGAATTTTTTTAATTTTTTTTTTTTTTTTGCGATTTCCCGTACAGAATAATATTTAATATTCACTTGATTCTTAGGCTCTCCTCCAAACTTCTATCCGATATTATGGCGGCCAAACAGATACCCAAACAGGGCCTCAGTCATGAATAGATAATATAGGGCAGCATACTATTAGCAGGTAAAGTTTACCGTAAACCTACAAAATAACGGATAATTAATTAATGGTGAGCAAGAAGGACTGATTACATGCAGACGGGGTAGGATGAGGACGATTCCTGGCCGGTACCGGTAGGCGACTTATTATTCATAATTCTATTAACTTAATAGACAGTTCACACACACACACACACACAACTTCAACTAGTCATGGAAGATAGTCCAATTTGTATTATGTATTAACCGATGAATTGTAGAAAATCATATACTTACTTATGGATTATTATTAACTGAATCCAGCAATTTAATGGCAGATAACATGAATTATGAATTATTCAAATTACTACTTTGCGAACGATGGATGACCGATGACCACAAATCAGTTGAAGTTCAACTTGAACAGTCACAAACACGGACGAAAGGGAAAAGACACGCACACATAAAATATAAAACTCCGAATGTTTTCACCAGAGTATCACAACAGACTAGGAGAACTTTCCCACTATCGGTCACCTTGATTATTTGTGCAATAATTCAACAGAAAACAGTATTTATATAACGCGTAAAATATCGTCGTGTCCCTAGAAAAGTCCAGAACTACGTTCTAGTTTTTTTTTCTTCACAAAACGGAAACGGTTGATATATTTCACAGATCATAAACATTCGTCGTTTTCGTTATTGGAATAAATCGGCGTTCACCAGGATCAAGTACTTGTACTCATTCTATTACTTTTTAATTGTTCCCATCAGGACAAAAAGATCACACACACACACACACACACACACACACACACACACACACACACACATTAACACAGAATGACTCAGTGGGCCAATCTTCTCATAAAGGACCATATTCCGATAAGGGCCAATATAATATTCGGATGAGAGCGAAACAGGACCAAAAAAATTCAAAAAACCCGTTCGTTAGTTATTTAGTTAGTTGGCTAGCTAGCTAGCCAGCCAACTAACTAAATAACTAGCAGGGTTTCGGAATTTTTAGCTAGTTATTAAGTTAGCTATCTAGCTATTTAGTTAGTTAGTTAGTTAGTTAGTTAGTTAGTTAGTTAGTTAGTTAGTTAGTTAGTTAGGTTATCATCGTTGCACTCCGGACATGTCCATAAGGCTCAGATCCTCCTCTCAGTATAAACCCCAGCGTTCGGTGGCTAATTTTACCAGTTCTATGTTGATTAACAAGTTCTCTAAAGTGAGGATATGCCGATCTTAACTTCGGTGTCTATCATTCTGGCGAGTGATGTGGATTCACTGCCCCCAAAGCCATCCACCCTTGCCACATCTCGAAGGGTAGTAATATTATCATAATGATCCATAGGCTGACCATCGGTAGTGGTCCAGCCAGCTTATCAGCTTTTTCATTTCCATCAACACTAGCGAATCCCGGAACGAAAATAAAGGTGACTCCACGCATAGTGGACTTATGTAATGACTCAAGCAGTTGCCTTCGGATCCAGCCTGCCTGAACCCTCCGGATCATAGTCAGTGAATCATTGAGTGAGTACACCTGCCCTGGTGTAGTTTTGAGTTTCGGGCCACGCGAATGCTTCGTTACTGCAAAAACACCGTTCATTCTTATAAAACAATTATGTAATTGCACTTTCGATTCATATAATACTAGTAGCGGGTAGTCAATGTGGGTGAGTGCCATATGCTAATTACGAGATTCGAATGGCTTCGTTACTTCTGTAATATGCAATACAGAGGTGTTACTCATCCGCGATTCCGCTAATCATGTCAGATGACAAACCGTGAGGCCTGCGCTTATTGGTGCTTCATTGATGATGATGCTGAAAATGATGATAAATGCATTCTCTAGCTGGTTATATGTCCAAGTACATTTGTTCCTGCAGCTAGTCACTGTGGCTAATTAAGGGTGTGTGGTGGTTGGGGGGGGGGTGGATCAAGTTTCGTTTCCTAGTATGGTAATTAAGCTTTTGTTGTTGTTTTTTTTTTTAGAAAGAAAAAAAAATGCGGTACTCCACTCAAAGTGACAATTACAGAAGCGCCAAAAGAAATGATAGCTACGAAGGTACAACCTAGATCAAAAATCAAGAACTGACGTCAGTGCACTGGGGATATTCCCATACGTACCCCATCCTCTTCCTCAGATTCCAAAATAAATATCTATGCTGATGATTCTCGATGAAAAGTTCGCCTGCCTTTTTTCCTGTTGTGGAAAATTGATCACACCCGCTGCTCTCTTTTAGCTAAAATATTGTCTCCAAATATGGATTTTCTATGTTTGAGAACTTTAGTTGAACTGCACTGAAAAGCCTAAATATATGAAACGAAAGTTAAAATGCATTCGAAAACAAATATCTACGGCCATTGATGAACATTAAATAAGATGAACTTGAGATCGGTAAAATGATCAGAGGAATGTCTGCACAACCGTTGGTATAAATCAACATTTACAAGACAAAGTGTCATGATTCACTTCAGTAGTCAAGGGTGAAAAGCACTGTCTGAAATGTTTCTCTCGGGTTGCCGGTACGTTGGGAAAAGAACAGTGGGACAGATTTACCAGCTCTGCACAGATTGGTGGAATACTGATGCATTCATAATAAGGCAGACGAGGTTAAGAATACATCACAGCACTCAGAGCATTTCCATAAGTTTACCGACACCATCTTCAGCAGCAAACGCAGAGTTCAAATTCCGACGGTGCCATAACAGTCTAGTTGTAATTTTTAAAAACAGTTTTCTTGTATTTTTACCCTTCCAGATTTGCAGTACAAATCCCGCAAGCGTGGTTCAACCTGTTAGTTATTTGACAACACATGGCACAGTTATATTTTGGCACCACAAAGCGGTTACTAACCTGTCGTCCAGTTTGGGTAACTGATTATATGTCCGTCTCCCCCCATCCCGTGAGTACACGAGGATTCCCAGGAGAAACCCTAAGGCAAACGTTGTTAAGAGAGGCCAAAGTTGGCGGAAGTCACCAGAAGTTCGCAATCAAGAATATCAAAAGAACTGCACAGAACAGGAAATAATGGAATCTGTGAGCTCTATGTGGCGTATGGCGGCACGTCTGAATGATGATGATGATGATGATGATGATGATGATGATGATATGGTTGTCTCCCTTGTTTAGGACACAATCCAATAAACTTCCGGTTGTGAGGACAGTTCTGCGTTTTTCACTTTCAGGTTTGTTTCAAACGCAAATTCTGCTCTTTCTAGACACATTCATTCTACGCAGGGATTACCTGAAAGTAAATTCTGATAACCTTTACATTATGCATTGATTGAAATTCAGACACGCCGCCTTTATTGGCTATATACGGTTATATCATCACCATGTAGCAGGTCCTTTGCAGAGACGTCGCTCTCATCTCACAGTCTGCCGAAACTGAACTCGGTCTCTCGCCTGTTCTCCCGCTTCATGAACTTTCACACTCAAGGAGTCACTTATATCCTGTGCCCATCTTCGTGTCGGTCGGCCCCTGCACCTCCTTCCTGGTACCATGCCTTCTGCTATAATTTTTTCCAATCCGTCGTGGCGCTTGATATGGTTATAAATATAATTATATAAATGAAATGTATATAAATATTGACAATTTTTCATTGAAATTATTGCTGACTGTAACTAGTACTAGTAAGGTTGGAACAGGCTGATAACTGAGAGTAAACTAGACTAAAAAAAAACGATAACAAACAAAACTCATCTAGGAAATACTTGTTCACACCCATCCCCCGCCGTAGGGCTACCCTAGCAGTATTGTACCCTGCGGTTGAAGTGTGTAGTTAGTTTCTGGCACTGATTTTTTGTTCTCATCTTTGAGTCCTTGAACTTGAAGTAAGGAAACATAAACAGGCTCTCCTCCGAACGGCGTCCTAATATTATGGCGACCATAAAATATCCTTATGGGGCTCAGGCATATGTAAAATGCTGACTGTCTGCCAAGGAACAAATCACGGCAAAACTAGGATTACTTGACAATTTCAAGCAACGCAACAGTGCAGACGATAGTAGCAGACGATAAAAGCGATCGTTGACAATTTCGAGCAATTCTGCAGACGATACTAGCAGACGATAATAGCGACTATTGACAATTTTGAGACATTATAGACGATGAAAGCGATATGGCGGGTAGACCACGCGCTCCGACGCAGATTAGCAATACTGTTCATCCGATTGAGGATTTAGTAGCGGTAGATGTCAGACCTGCCGACCTGTATCCTCACACTTTTCGGCATGCGCAAAATGCGATTAAACTCACCGCGCGGCGCGGATGGGGTGCTAAACTAGGTGCCTAGGACTCACGAGATAATTAATTGGAGGAAGTTGCAGGAGATGTGGTAGCTGCTGCTCGTGAGTCCCAGCCATCTAGTTTAGCCCCTTTCCGTGCCGCACGTAGTGTAGCAGCGCGGGGGAATACGGTCGGCGATAAGGCACAGTCACAGAAACAGGTCCGCAAATAACATATCGCTGAGACCCTGTTAGAGCATTTGTTTCGTTATACGGAGCCGGCATATTTTTAATAGAACTGAGCCCCGTAAGGATATTTTATGGCCGCCATAATATTAGTACGCCGTTCGGAGGAGAGCCCATAAACAAGTACGACCACCGAATAGCTAGAAAAGAAATTATAAGTAAATACAGATGACCAGCACAGAAAACAAAATGGGGAAGGGTGGGAGGTTGGGATACGGACCTACCCGGGTGTCATAGCTTGAGAAAAGGTGGTGGGGGGGGGGGTGGGAATGTTGACAGGGGTGGGGGGAATGTTGAGAGGGGTGGCGGGTGGTGACAAAATTTTCAGCAGGGAATGACCTATCTGCTACACTACTGAAGGAAGATTCACTGGACAATAACAAAAACACTAGCAGATGAGATCACCAGTGCTGTTGAATAGACCTGGCAAATTGAATTGCCATCTATGGATATCTTATGTCCTTGCAAAACACTACACAGACATTGAAACACTGACATTTAATCATTTATATATGTTATGAGTGGAAAACATTATTAATTATTTTAACTGTTCAACTTCTATTTGTTTATATCACTGCCACATGCATATCATCTTGGGATATCACTGTATACCCAAATTGAAATGTCTTGAGTTGAACTGAGATAGGAAACCAGTCCATAAATAAAGTATTAGTGACAGCAAAATCACCTAATCACGAGAATATTCATATTATTTTTAATTTCTTTAATATATGTTGCCTTTACTAAGTTAATAATTTTATGTGTGGTACAGTAATGCAGCATCAGTTTACAGAGAAATTCCTTTAAAAAATAAAGCTTTTTCGGCTATCCTCGGAATAACGGGCACAAAAGATGGCGGCAGCAAAATATCTGGACGAGCCTCAGTCACGTGTCAATTATGCACTTCCAGTAACTTAATGTGCGGTTTTCCGGTGACTACCGCCACCGCCGAGAGTAGCACCCACGATCGGGACTAAACTAGATGGCTAGGACTCACGAGCAAAGCTGCAGGAGATGCGGAAGCTGCTGCTCGTGAGTCCTAGCCATCTAGCTTAGCCCCAAAACATGCTGATGAGCGGCGTGGGGGACTCTTGGCGGTGGCGGTAGTAGCTAGAAAACCGCAAATTAAGTCGCCGGAAGTGAGCAATTGACACGTGACTGAGGCTCGTCAGAATATTTTACGGCCGCCATCTTTTGTGCCCGTTTTTCGGAGGATAGCCGCTTTTTCATAGTCCACACATCTAGTATTAATAAGTAGTGAATTCAGTTAAATGTTGCATCTATCTGATCAGTATCTAAGAGCTGCTTTAATATCAGTTGTCCTAAAAATGGTTTGTTATAGGAAGATTTTTGTTATTTGATCACCCACTCTTCAGTTTGATCATTAATTATTAATGTGTAAAAACTTTCTAATTGCAGACAAGTTGCTACAATGAATCGCACAATAAAGACACAAGTTGTCAAAACAGTGAAAGTAAAAAGTGTTAGAGAGGGGGCATTCTGCAAATACTCTCACCATGTGTGCATGCAGAACTGTGTGGATGGGTATGATTATTGCAGACACCACATATTAGAAGACAAAACTGCGCCGTACAAACAGTGTGTCTACATGACAAAATCAGGCCGACGGTGTTTCATGGCTGCTCCGAAGCAGGAACGAAAAGATGGGTATGTCTGTGTTATGTGTTCATTTGCCATTATGTTATTTAAAAAAAATAAATGGTTATCCTCCGAATAATGGTCCTAAATTATTGAGATGGAAAATATACCCTAACAGGGCCTCGGTCACGTGTCAGTAGCGCACTTCCGGGACTATAACGCCACTGCCAAATTGCGAACTTCTGGTGACTTCCGCCACCGTCGAGAGTATCCCCCACGCAGCGTGGATTGGGGTAAACTAGATGGCTAGGACTCACGAGCAAATAAAATTAAAGAAAACCTGCAGGAGATGCGGTAGCTGCTGCTCGTGAGTCCCAGCCATTTAGTTTAGCCCCAATCGACGCCGTGTGGGCGGCGTGTGAGATACGCTGCTGCTTGTGAGTCCCAGCCATTTAGTTTAGCCCCAATTGACGTGTGAGATACTCTTGGCGGTGGCGGAAGTCACCGGAAGTGCGCAATTTAAGAAGGCAGTAGTGCGCAGTCGACACGTGACTAAGGCCCTGTTAGGGTATATTTTCAGCCTCAATAATTTAGAACCGTTATTCGGAGGCTAGCCAAATAATTTTATGTTCATTAAAAAGTTTCAATGTATCTTGTTTAGAGCTCATATATTTTTATATCTACTTCTTAAATTTGCTTTCTGATTTACACTGACAGACTAGTTTTTGTGATAAAGTTGACTGTTTTAGGAGTTACCTTTTAATTCCATTAAACTTTGAGTACAGTGTTGACTCAGTGGGTCTGTGTTCCCTTCTTAATGGGCTGTACGAGGGACATTCTTGCAGGACATGTTCTGTAGTCTGCCCACATGGACACAGTGGTGAACAACTTGAGACACATCCTGTGCATATGCTTGTTAAGTTTATGTCCTGTCCTGAGGCGTAGAATAATGACCTGCCCATGCCGGTCAAATAAGTATATATATTTTATATGAAAGTTAAAGATAAAACCTGGTGCAGTGTTGATCCTCTTGACTGAAGCTTTCATTAATTTTCATTTATGTGTATTTTATAAGTCCTCATGGCAAAGTGATTAACTCTTTCGGTTCCATAGAATGCTAGGACGAATGCTAGATAAAGCCAGTCTTACAGGTCATCAAAGAACAACAAATGATTGGTTTGGACACCTAGCAAGAATGCCCTGGTACTATGTGCCACAGCGAGCCACACTAAAACGTTACAACAGGTATAGAGCGAGTGGAAGACCTCGGAAAATATGGAGTGATGGCATTAAGAACAGCCTTACAGAAATGAACATCAGTCTTAATAGTGCTCTTGACAGAGCTCATCAACAAACATTACATCCCCCCCCCCCCCCACCCCGACACCTCGATGAGGTACAAGGTGGAAGAGAAGAAGAAGAATAAGGTTCCATAGAATGCGTGATGTGTTACTGACTATTCTGTATTTGTCTCAAACATCACATGAATTGTCTTCTTATATTAAAGTTTTGTACTAAATAGATCTGGCAACTGCAGGGGTGTGTTTAATTAATTGTTCATTCCTACAATACAACAAGAGGTTAGAGTTTTTATGGCAATATTTATTGAGAAAGAAAAAAACGGATTTTTGGACATAACCTAATGGGACTGACAGAGTTGAGTAACTGGCCTCACACTTTTAAAGTTGTGCGTTCAGTATTAAATCTCTGGCTTTGGTTTGTGAGTGCAGATGTCTTGGAGAACCTTCATGGCTGTTGCTGGAACTACAGAGTTTTTATGCCTTGTCAGACATTCTCATCCTCTGACCAACTGCTCTGGGGAAAGAAACAGCTGTTTTGGATAAAACCTAGTGCTATGATATTAATCCTCTCCATTTAGATAGCTTTAAAATCTCTTTAAACGGAAATATTTACACTTTGATCAGTTTTTCTTCTTTATCAAGACAAATGGAGGATCAGCTGGCAGAACTGGATAAGAAATGCTGGGCTCCCATATGGGTGACCCAGGTTCAAATCCTTGGTAAAGTTATGGGTTTTTTGTGTATGTTTGTGGGGAGGGGGTGTTTGTATAAAAAAAAAAAAATGGGAATCCTAACCTGGAGAGTTTGTGGTGACTTCAATAGCCGTGCTGCCTTAATCCTCATAATCCTCAGACCCCTCCCCCTCCTCCTTTTGTTTTTGCACCACTAAAATGGTCAATACAGGCAATAACAGCATATTTAACTAAGACAGATAATAGAAAAATAATTTAAGTGGTTTGCCTTATGTTCTGATGGTAATGGCTTTGCCTTCTGACTGCCCTTTCTGTTCACAAATGCAAGATTGTTCATAGATCCTTCGGAATCGTTACCAGAGCTGCAGAGTTTATGCTTTGTGCTCAGATCTCAACAGATAACAAGCTTTGTGCAGAAAATGAGCCAGATAGAACAGTGAAATCAAACTTCCTGCCTCGAATGCCCACCCCCCCCCCCCCCCTCCCAAAAAAAAAAGATTCTTTGGCTGTATTTATTGTTATTTTGTATTATATTGTTCAGGTATTGCTCGGAGCATGCCAAGAAAGCTGCCTATGCCCGACAACGCCTGTCACGCAAACGTAGACCAAAGGAAACTGTGGAGAGTCTTCTCGAGGATCTGACTTCGGTGAACGCTACCTCATCTGATTCCCACAACAATGAGCATCGCCGAGGGAAAATGCACAGTGACAGCATTGCTAGCAAAGCTCTAGGTAGGTCAGAAGGGAGGATTTACTGCCTGTTTGTCATGGAGTTAATTTAATTACAACACTTCCCCGAATGACTTTGACGCTGCATTTTGAAAATTTAATTCTCTTTGTAATTACCTTTACCTGTTTTTCTGCTGTTCAAACTACGACCCTTGTTTTTACTTTCTGTTACATTTATGTTTCATTAACATAAACATATCAATATTTTTGTTTCTTTGCTTGAGATTAATTTCTCAGCACACTTTCCTATTATGTGTGTTTTTTTTTTCAATTTAGTTTCATTCCCCATGTAGCGTTGTCCGTGGCTTAGGTGTTGCGAGTCCGACTCGTAATTCCGACGTACCGCGATCGAAACTTACTGCTGGCTGCGTGGATTTTTATCGTGGTATGGGGCGTTGCACGTTGACCCAGACTAAAATGGGTACCAGGATGTATGTCCTGGGGAAGTTAGGAAGGCCGGCGTAATGCTGACCACATTACCCACTTAGTGCCGATTGGTCTGTAAAAATATGGGTGCTCTTCCCGTATGCCTGATATGCCTAAAAGGTGTGAAAAGGGATCTTTACTTACTTTACTTTCACCATGTAGATTACTGGTTCATCATCATCATCATATGCCCTGCCTGGTGGCCTAGTCGCTCATGTGTCTCCACAGTTCTCGGTCTCTGGTATTCTGAATCAGTTCTGCTGCTGATGTTTCTCCATGCTATCACCTCAGGCCATTGAGCTTTGTCTCTTGGTCTGCCTCTGCCTCTTTTTCTGTTATTTCTAGTCATCACAGTGTTCTCCAGTGACTCTCCTCTCATTCACCAGTTGGTTGAAGTTTTTTTATTTTTTGGGGGGTTTAGGATTCTTGTGGTTTTAGTCTATGCTAAAGACTGTGGTTTAGTGCTTTCTTTCCCTTTATTGAGCTTACTAATCAAATTTTGTTTTGTTTAAAGAATCAGCTAGGTTGTGGTCATCCTAGTTTTCGTTACTACTAGCAAAAAGCCATATCACACTGTTTCAATGCCAAATGTTGCTTGCTGTGTCTAAAGATAATACAGGGTGTTTGTAAAGTTTTACTACACTTTGTATGTAGAACAAATTTGAACAAGGAGTACATGAAGATATAAAAAGTGTGCTAAAATGTTATTAAGTTAGTTACATACTCACAGAGCATGTTGAGAAAGTTGAAAACAGGCGTGCTTCGTGCAGAGTGGCAAGCATCACTTCAGAAGTTCCGGGTAGTTAGCATCCTTTGGATATTTTCTCCAGGTGATGCCAGTGTGTTGGGAAATGAGCAGGCAGATAGACTGGCTTGCTCTGCACCGCTTGGTGGTGAATTGATGTATGACAGGTTAGATATTGTGAGGGTCCTTTGGGAGCGAGTAAACAGTGCGAAGGCACAGATAGATCATTACGGTCTAAGGAAAATGGCGCTAACGGGAAGTTTCCAGGGGATCTGGCCAACGCTCAACACTCAAGGGAGGGATGAGACATATACGATCAAATACGGTTACTGCTCCCATTGGAATTGGAACTCTTCACTTGTTGCTGAAGATGGGGACTGAGCACTTATGGGAGTGTCCAGAGTGCTGTGATGAAATTCAGTACTAAATTAGTTACAGTAGTAGCTGTTGTCTGTGGCTTAGGCATTAGGAACACGCTTTGTAATGCCGGGGTGCCAGGTTTGATCCCAGCTGCTCGCCTTGCATTGGTTTCGACAGTGAAGAGAAGCTGGCCGTCCAGAAAGAAATGGCAAACTACTGGACGTAAACTTGCCTAGGAAAACCACAACAGCCAAAAAATGCTGGGGTTGGTTCTGCAACGTCTTGTAAAGGATTTGCAACTAACTTAGTAGCTGTTATGGTCTAACGCTGTTTTTGGGAAGCAGGAAAGTACCAGTGAAATATTTATTTATAACAGATGCTGGAAATGTCCATCGGGGCTTCAAGACACCGTACACGTCTCCACATATTGTCAGATACCTTCATCTGTCATTATTCTATGAATTATAATCCTGAGTGCTTCTTTCAGCTCCTCAGTTGTGTGTTGATCATTTTTTGTAAACATGTCCTTTCAAGAAACACCATAAATAAAAATCAAATTGAGTTAGTTCTGAAGAACAAGTCGGGCAAATTGCAGTTTATATAAAGTGAATTTGCTCAGCCAGAAAATAGTCTTTCTTCCATTGATAACACCATTCTGTTTTGAGCGCAGAGAATGACTCCAGCAAATGGTAGCCATTCACTACATATAGCTTTACGATTGACTGTGGAGCACATTTTTTAATGATGTAATTTACTTCATTTTTGTAATGATCCAAGCCATTTTTACAATGGCTTGGATCATTACAGAAGTCCACTGTGCGTGGAGTCACCTTTATTTTTGTTCCGGGACTCGCAGGCGTCGATGGAAATAAAAGATCTGATAGGTTGGCTGGATCCGCTGTCACTACCGACAGTCAGCCTATGGATCTTGCTGATATTATTAATGCCCTCAGAGAAAGAAGAAGGATAGAGGACTTTGAGTTCAGTGAATCCACATCACTCACCAGAATGGCAGACTTGGGAAATAAGATCGGCATAGCAAAAAACGAGACGCACACCATACACACTAGAAGACTTGTTAATCAACATAGAACTGGTACTATTAGCCATCAGATGTTGGGGTTCATACTGAGGGGAGGATCTGAACACCTATGGACATGTCTGGAGTGCAATTATGATAACCCAACTAACTAACTAACTATCTTCATTTTTCAAATTTATTCTACATACAGTGTAGTAAGACTATACAAACACACAGTTTATCGTTCTTGGTGTCATTATTACAGATGGATGTTATATTAACGCTTTGTATCTGAGTTATTAGTTTCACCACTTCTGTCATATTGTGTCTGTTGAACTACTTTAGACCAAGGTACATACTGTTTTTAGGCTCGACTCCTTGGGTTACTTGCATGAGGAACTTTGAATTACTAGAATACTTGGCTTGTGTAACTGCCGGAGTTGACATTACTACTGAACCCAGTGAACGTATGCCTATTAAAGTTGGATGTGTGAGCCAGAAACCGCAGATATAAACAGCCACAACAAAATTATGTCAGTCTGACAAATGAAAATAAGATGTTACTACAGAGTGGCTCCATATTGGCCACTGAGATGCCTTCTGTTGACCCCAGCAGCTTTACACCAGTAGCATCTACTCGTGCCTGAAAGAGTTAATCTGCTATATTCATCACCAAATAATTATGTGGTTCATGTGTCCCACAGAGTATGCCAGCTCCAGCGACTCCGACACAGAGCAGCCAATGGTTGGACAGACATGGATCGACGATGGAGATAGTGATGCAGAGAGCATTGACAGTGAACAGGAAGATTTACTCAAGTATGGCTCCTTTGTGTATTTGTTGCTAGGGGATCAGTGTCCTCTTCCTTCTGTCTTTAATCTTTTCACATTGTAAATGCTTTAAAAAAAAATTTGGTCATGAACTCGTGGGAATTTCCATTTAAGAAAAGCTGTTCTTCACAGATAAGTAATAAATTGTTTACAAATTTATTTATCTGCATTTTTTAAAATTCTTTGTTTTGAAATATATAGATATATAAAGGGAGTAATCAGTACACAGGAACAGTGTGAAGCATTAAATGGATTGTGTTCTTCAGGATCTCAAATAAATTTATATAAAAATAGCAACTCATACTATGACTCAGTGACCTTTAACACTGAGGCATACAGGACAATTTAAGTCAAACTGGCTTTAAAAAGGCTATTGGATTGACAAGGAAAAGCCTCTAGTTGCTGTATTTAGTTAATAGGTTCACATCCTGGCCTCCTGAACACCATGCAGGCACATATATAACCAGTGGTATTTAACAGAACTGGCCATATATTTTAATTTATAGGGCAATAAGATCAAACTGTCTTGATGGAACCAATTCCCTCCCTAGCTACAAAACATTTTGTAAACTTGGTCATAATTGGCCAGATTTTTCAGCTTTCTCTGGGATGAGGATGTGTGGGTTAGAAATTTGTAACATTTTTTCACAATGTACTTCTCGATGTTTGCCACCAGGTTCGATTCTCATGGTGGGCCACATAGAAAAAGAACATTTTTGTATTTTTTCTGACAGTAGTATGAGAGTCACACCGTATAAGATATTGTGGCCTCATGTAATATTACCACAGTTAACAGAGGATGCATGGTAGCTAACCTCCTTTGTGGAGGTGGCGCAATTTCTTTTGAAGAAATGAAGTAGCCAGTAACTGACCAGCCATCCTTATTTGTCATGGACTGATAGTATAAGGTGAGGCAGCTAGGATAGGTTATTGTAGCGATAGTAGTTTTTCAAAGTAGCGTTCATTGAGATAGAGACAGGTGTATAATTCAATTAGTCAGTTGATCAGTCAGTGTGTCCTTTACAGAACTCTGTTCTCTTCACAGCATATTCTCCAGCCCTGTGTGATTTCAGAGCCAGTCCATCTTCAGTGTCCTGTATCCACCTTCTCCGAGATCGGCTTTTGCCTTGTTTTACAGAAATTGCACGCTCCACCACCATTTTAGTCTAGCAAAAGAACCTTCCATTGCATTGCATTCAGTAGCCATTCTGTGTAATTATTTTCGTATAATCCCCTTAACTTCACTGATATTTCCCCCCATGTTTTGCACAGGTATGCAGGTGCCTATACAACGGAAGAAGTTGCCCAGATTTTAAGAGACAAGTTAATCAGGCTACAAGCACTTTATATTGACCAGTTCAAGCGACTCAAACATGTGCTCTTGACCAAACGAAGACAGTACTTGAAAGCTTACAAGGCAGAGAAGGAAACTTTAGGTAATGCAATTCATGTCTGAGTTTGTTAGTTTTCCCGGCAATGAACTCCAGTAGACAGGCTTGGTTGTTCATCCACTTCTGGACTTTGGCTTTGTTCAGGGTCTGAGTTTTGCGTGTGCTTCTGATTTACAGATCTGACTTATTTGTATGCAGACTGCTGGTTCCTCATCTCTCAGGCAGATGGAACTCCAAATTCAGAGGACACCCCTACATTTTATGATATGCTTCTTAAGGGGGCAGTGGGTCTGCTCTTAGTTTTTCTCTAAATAAGAACCCCAGAACCCAGACAGAACACAGACAGAACCCAGACAGAACCCAGACAGAACCCAGACAGAACCCAGACAGAACCCAGACAGAACCCAGACAGAACCCAGACAGAACCCAGACAGAACTCAGACAGAACCCAGACAGAACCCAGACAGGGATGAGTTTAATTCCTCAGTCATATTTGTTTAGGAATCATCATCATCAGGTGCCTTGGTGACTGGTGTGAGTGATCTGTGTCTCCACATCATGCAGTCTGCTGCAGTATTTATTAGTTTGTGTGCTGACTCCCTTCTTTGCCATGTTGAAAGACTGTCAAGAATTCTCCCCCATTGTCTTTCTCTGTATCTCTGTTCATGAATCTTTCCAGTGTCACAGTAAATTCCAGTTTTTTTTCTTTTCTTCTCCAGAAGTGATGACTTCCTCTTTATGTTTTTAATAATTTGTCTTCAGGCCTTAACCTTTGTCAGAACATCAAAATTATTGATCTTGGCAATCCAAAGGATGTAAAGCCGTAAATGTTTTCTTTTTCTTTTTAAATTAATTAAAATCTTTTTGTTTTTGTTTTGTTTTTTTGTTTGTTCTTTATCCTCATTGAATTGTAAGTCCAACACACACTAAGCCTTACTGCTGGTTCTGTAACCAGTGAGTTTGGGATTGGAGTGGTCTTCCATCCCAACCCACCTGTAGAACAACCAGTGTCTCTGTATGCCAGATCTAACTGCATATGTCTGTTTAATTGTAAGTGTCAGTTAATTTAACTTACATTAGTCAAACTGAGTAATGGCTTGAAATCAGAGTATCATAATCTATCCTTAAATGGCTCCACATATAAGTGAGTGGAGCTCCTGCTAGTGTGTCAAGAGCAGCCAGAAGAGAACCTGATTCTTCAATAGGATATTTTTTTACTTGACTACAATCGTTTAGTTGATAGGGGCTGTACCATGGAAGTTATTTAAAACAGACTATATAGGCATTTACTGAAACTGGCCGAAGCTGTGACAATAAAAACGCGCAACTCTCTGTTATGCTGACAAAAAGAGTTTAAATTTAAAATTGCTGTGGTGTCACATGGCTAATCTTGAATTTTTTGTTGTATTGTGACTAGAGACATTGTGATTTGTGTATTGGATGGAAATGATTCATTTCTGTGCTTTAGTATATGGTGATGTAACTCTTTAGTAATGCACCTGATGAGGCGGCAAAATATACCAGGCATTAGATTGTGCAATGTATTTTTTGTGTGTCTGTATTATATAGAAAAAGAATTACTGACTGTGAAATTAACCCTCTAGATTACCATGTCAGTAAGCCGATTTTCTAAGCAGCACACAATCATATTTGCCTGTCGATTGTGTTATAATATAAATATTTAAAAAAAAAAGCCTTCCCTCTGATCTGACGTTCACATTTTCCAGGAAGCATCAAGCTGTACAAGAGTGATCCATCCCAGAAAGAGAAATATCAAAAACTGTTGGCCATGAAGCACTATCACAGGAAGTACGGGAAGGTAAGGGACTGATGCTGACATTGATTGATTGGATTCAGGTTGCTTGAAATTGTCTGTTAAATGTTCTGATCTCCATTTTGTTAGGTCACAATGGAAGTGGTCTCGGCTTGGTACACTGTTGAGGATTCAGGGACCTTCGTCGTACTTGAAATTGTCTATTAGTGTTCCAATTTCCTCCATTTTGTTAGGTCACAATGGAAGTAGTCTCGGCTTTAGTGCATTGTTGGGGATTCAATGGGTGTGTTTCAAAATTTTACATTGCAATAAATATATGAATGCAGTAAATACATGAATGCAATAGATATCTGAATGTCATAAATACATCAGTGCAATAAATACATGAATGCAATAAATACATCAATGCAATAAATACGTGAATTCAGTAAATACATGAGTGCAGTAAATACATGAGTGCAGTAAATACATCAGTGCAATGAATACATGAATGCAGTAAATACATGAGTGCAGTACATACATGAATGGAGTAAATACATGAATGTAGTAAATACATGGTTAGCGTCTGTGGCCTAGGCATTGTGCATGTGCTTTGTAATGCCGGGGTGCCGGGTTCGATCCTACCTGAGAGCCTTGCGTTGGTTTCGACATTGGTATTGAGAAGCTGACCGTTTAGAACGCAATGGCAAACTACTGGACGTAAATTTGCCTAGAAAAACCACAACATCTAATGCTGGGGTTGGTTCTGCAACGTCTTGTAAAGGATACACAACTAACTTTAACTTTGAGTAAATACATGAATACAGTAAACACATGAACGCAACTGATCACAAACATCAGAAATAGACAGTCACCATTCTTTCACTGTATTGTAAGGATAAGATAAATGTCTGGGCAGTGACTTGTGTCAACAGTTATGAGACAGAGAAGATGGGGCCACATTGGACACATCCTGAGAAGAAGCCAGCAGAGAATCACCAAACAGGCATGAAAAGGGGGGGGGGGGATTAAGGAGGCAAGGACTCCCAAAAGAAACCCTAAGATGAACGTTGATGGGAGAGGCCAAAGCTGCTGGACTGGATTCCATCCATGATTTCTGACCTATTGCACAGGATGGGACAGAATGGAGGAATAGACTGCGAGCTTTATGTGACATATAATGGCATAGCAGGATAATGAATGAATGAATGATGAGAATAGCAAAACTGGAGCATGCAACGACTGACTGATTTTGATAACCTGGGCAAGTTTGAGCACATGGATTGATGCATTGGCTTTTGTGCAAGGAAGAACTGGGAAGGAACACATATGGTACTTTTGCCTTGACTGCAAGAGATCTGACTCCACAGGTCGTGGCATTTTAATGGACCAGTTGGCACTCAGTGAGTGACGTCATCCACCTGATTCTGGCTACCTTTACTTCCCAGGAAAGGATATAAAACCGAACGAAAAGTATATTAGCAAGCTTCAAAGTATAACAAATACAAACAAAACGTGAACGTTGTGGCTATGGAGCCTTCATCAGCTCATACAAATCTAACAATACCACACAAATACACAAAATCACTTAGCTGGTATCTTGAAGCAGCCGGGTCGATGGTTTCTTAGCAGAATGCCTACACTCGTTGGCCAGGGAAATAAATACCCCCTGCGGAGTACCAGGGGCCATAACTAGCGGGTTAGAGATAAAACTGTGAGGGCAGTTCAGTCCCCTAGGAGTTTAAATGAAACTGTGTTGGCAATTCAGTCCAGAGGGTGTTAAAATACCTAAAGTGTAAATAAAGTGATTTACTTCCCAGGACACTACCTGGTACATATTTTAGGGTGAAACTAAAGCAGTAGAATAGTGGTTTTCACTCGGGGCTGCCTATTTCAGTGACTCAGTAAGTACGCTCAGGAAGATTGAGATTGGCTGGGGTCGAAGACGGTGATGGATGCTCTGAGGTCACAGCTGACAAAGATCAGTTTAAATTTTTTTTCAAAGCATGTAATCGTAAAAATAAATAAACAGGTTTGCGTACACAGCTACTGTGCTTGGAGCATGAGAAGTAGACCAGACTGATATACTGAATACTTTACAAAATATGTTTGCGAGAATTGGATGATTACTGTGAATCTTTGTGTGTGTGTTTGTGAGTGTGTGTATATATATGTGTGTGTATGTATATTTGCATATGTATGTGTGTGAGTGCACACTTGCTGTAATCCAACCTATTGTTTTTATTGTCCAGGAGGCATTACTGCAGAAACAGTCCACGCAGCGGAGGATGCAAGCCACAGAAGGGATGAACTACCTCCCGCCACACTTCGCCAAGTGTGTGTTTGTCGATGAAGGTCTCCGTTGTAATGCAAGAGTTGTTCCCCTGAGCAAATTCTGTCAAAAACGTATCCTTTGTTCACATGTTTCAGCATAGCATCATTAAAAAGGAGATTCACTATAATGCAGTAGGTGGCACACTGGCCTGCAGGTCTCAAGGTCTTGGGGTTCAATTCTCCGCCAAGTCAGTATTTTTCAAAACTGATCTTGGCTCGACCCAGCCTAAAATGTATACCAGCTGATGTCATGGCAGGGAAAGGTAGCAGTCGTGATGTTGGCCACGTTAGCCACAGAATACTGACTGGTCTATAAAATTACAAGTTTAGCATCATCTTCCCGAGGTACCACTGATGTAATAAGGATGCTTTACTTTTTACTGCCATTATATCTCCATGTGTCGGCGTCTGTGGCTTAGGCGTTGTGAACCCGTTTTGTAATGCTGGAATGCCGGGTTCAATTCCAGCTGCGTATGGTTTGACCTGCTGACAGTTCAGATAGCACTGGCAAACTACTGAACGTAAAATATGCTTAGAAAAAAACCACAACAGCCACGAGAATCCTGGGGTTGGTTCTGCAATGTTCTGTAAAGGATAGGCAACTAACTTATCTCCCAGTTGAGTATTTGCCGTCAGTCAGTGCACAGTACAACCAGCCCTACCCTGTCCGGATCTCAGGTTACCTCACAGTCGTCGGGGATCTCCAATATATATAACCTTACGGTTGGACAGGGTGTCCATGATTTTTGCTTGGAGTATTCTTTTCTGAATAGTGACTGTTTGTGTCACCGGCTGTTAGTCGCTCAGTATGCAGTCCTTGTGTGGTTCAGTTTCGCTCACTTATACCAAGTTGCCTGCTGAATGGTTCATGATTGGTTCCATTTTATTGGCTGCATTTTTTTTTTACATAGTGAGGTAGCAGTTCTCATCCTAACCCTTCTTTATGGCCTCTAATGACATTATTGCAATGTTTGTCGTTAATTGAGGTTCCAACTTAATAATTGCTGTGTCGTTCCTGTACTAGTGGCCTTGACCCTCCCATTTGAGAAAGTAAAGAAAAGCATGGTAATCTAAACAAATCTCTAAGCTGGTGCAAGCAAAGTAAACGTATAAGACGGCAGGTTACGATATTATTTTTCTTTGTTTCTCTTGTTGACCTTCACAGCACACACACGCAGTTGTCATAAACGTGAAGTTGTGTGACAATGTAAGGTTCATACTATCACTAGCCAAAGTGAAGGGTAATATAGTGTGTATTAGATCAACCTGGAATATCATGTAGGCCATGTATATCTGCATCTACGCAGCACATACCAAGGCTTTCACCCTGTGCCTCTTCTCTAGGAGTAGAGAAGAAGAAGAATATGAAGTTAATGTCGACCATCTGTGTTTTCTCTTTGGCATCTCTGTTACTCATTTTCTTATTGAGAGCTTGTGTTGCATTGGGAAATGAACGACAGGAGAGGGAGATGTATATAGCAGTGATTCCCAAACTGTGCGCCGCTGCGCCCCGGGGATCCGCGACCTATTCACAGGGGCGCCGCGAAATATTGTGAAAGCTTCATAATTAATTTAACCAAGACACGAATAGTCATACTTTTACTTAGGTTAGGGCGCCGCGGAAACATTTTAATTTAAAAAAGGCGCCGCGGCCAAGACAAGTTTGAGAAACACTGGTGTATGGGATTGCTCCATGTTGCTGTAGATTTGTTGTTATCCTGAACTGTAACCAGATATTCTCCACGACCCAGCCCAAGTGTTGTACCGCCCATGTCCGTTTGCCGACAGTCAGTGTGGTCGACCCGTGCCAACCCTGCATAATACAGAGTTTTGTTCTTTACACCAGCCAGTGCCCTCTGTCAAAGTAAGGCGTCTATGTTTCATGTTGTAAATTGTTAGAGTAAGATTTCTTTGTTTCATCTTGTCATTTGTCAGAGTAGGATTTCTTTGTTTCATCTTGTAAATTGTCAGAGTAAGATTTCTTTGTTTCATCTTGTCATTTGTCAGAGTAAGATTTCTTTGTTTCATCTTGTCATTTGTCAGAGTAAGATTTCTTTGTTTCATCTTGTCATTTATCAGAGTAAGATTTCTTTGTTTCATCTTGTCATTTATCAGAGTAGGATTTCTTTGTTTCATCTTGTCATTTATCAGAGTAAGATGTCTTTGTTTCATCGTGTCATTTATCAGAGTAAGATTTCTTTGTTTCATCTTGTCATTTATGAGAGTAGGATTTCTTTGTTTCATCGTGTCATTTATCAGAGTAAGATTTCTTTGTTTCATCTTGTCATTTATCAGAGTAGGATTTCTTTGTTTCATCTTGTCATTTATCAGAGTAAGATTTCTTTGTTTCATCTTGTCATTTATCAGAGTAAGATTTCTTTGTTTCATCTTGTCATTTGTCAGAGTAAGATTTCTTTGTTTCATCTTGTCATTTATCAGAGTAAGATTTCTTTGTTTCATCTTGTCATTTGTCAGAGTAAGATTTCTTTGTTTCATCTTGTCATTTATCAGAGTAAGATTTCTTTGTTTCATCTTGTCATTTATCAGAGTAGGATTTCTTTGTTTCATCTTGTCATTTATCAGAGTAGGATTTCTTTGTTTCATCTTGTCATTTATCAGAGTAGGATTTCTTTGTTTCATCATGTCATTTGTCAGAGTAGGATTTCTTTGTTTCATCTTATAAATTGTCAGAGTAGGATTTCTTTGTTTCATCTTATAAATTGTCAGAGTAGGATTTCTTTGTTTCATCGTGTCATTTATCAGAGTAGGATTTCTTTGTTTCATCATGTCATTTGTCAGAGTAGGATTTCTTTGTTTCATCTTGTCATTTGTCAGAGTAGGATTTCTTTGTTTCATCAAGTCATTTGTCAGAGTAGGATTTCTTTGTTTCATCGTGTCATTTATCAGAGTAAGATTTCTTTGTTTCATCTTGTCATTTATCAGAGTAAGATTTCTTTGTTTCATCATGTCATTTATCAGAGTAGGATTTCTTTGTTTCATCGTGTCATTTATCAGAGTAAGATTTCTTTGTTTCATCTTATAAATTGTCAGAGTAGGATTTCTTTGTTTCATCTTGTCATTTATCAGAGTAAGATTTCTTTGTTTCATCATGTCATTTATCAGAGTAAGATTTCTTTGTTTCCTTGTGTCATTTGTCAGAGTAAGGTTTCTTTATTTCATCATGTCATTTGTCAGAGTAACATTTCTTTGATTCATCATCTCATTTGTCAAAGTAAGGTTTGTTTGTGTCATCATGTTTTTTGTCAAAGTAACATTTCTTTGTTTCATCATGCCATTTGTCAAAGTAAGATTTCTTTGTTTCATTCAGTCAATGCCCCTACCTTCCTCCCAACATGGCGGTCACAGAACCACATGACAATGATGTAACTAGAATGTCCCTGCACTGGAACTTATGTGCCAAATAAATACAGGGCGGAGAGAGAGAGAGAGAACACACAAACAAGACACACACACACAACAGACACACACACACAACAGACACACACACACAACAGAGCAGAGAGAATTAGATACCATTGAAAATGATAGGGTGAACTGCATACTTTGACAGAGGTAGGACAACTTCTATGCTTCATAAGGACATGAAAAGATTTAAAAAACAAAGTTTTCATTATTGTATTCTTCTCTATTTTGTTTGAAAGGAACCTGACCAGCCAGATGCGGATATGAATGTCGCAGACCAAGAAGACAGCAAACAAGACAGCAGCAAGGTGTATGCAGATAGCAGATTGGTTTCTCCGCCTCAGAGACATGTAAAGATCCAGACGCCCAGCATGCAAGGCCAGTTGGAAGCGACAGTGAAGAGCACGCTGGACTTTGGTTTAAAGTTGGGCTCTGCAACAACAGGCACAGCAGCAGGGAAGACTCAGGATGTTGATGCAGAGGAAGCAGAGACTGAAAGACATTTTCAGCTAGGGACTTTATTTACTCTTGGGGAGGAAAACGAGGAGGAGGAGAACATTGCAAGATGATAGTTGTTATCTTTGTCTTCGTTGTTCATTTTAGAGAGCATCTTCATCGCACAATAAGTGCTCCGATCTTCTCCTGAGTATGTCTCCAAGTGTTTTTAGGCTGACAACTCTCATAGTTTTGTAACTAATGTAATGACGGGTGGCTCCCATATGGTTTTTCTGTCTTGCTGGAACACCCAGGGTAAGCAGTCCGTTCAGTGAAAAATCATCTTCCACGAAACTGAAAGCTTCACAGCTCTATAGTCTCTCATATAGCATTGATGATGTCTCTCCTGTCCATAGAGGGCCCATTTTTGATAGTCGCACTGCCAGCCAGAGCACCTGCTCTCTCATTGCCTTTTTCTTTGTTTTCAGTTCGTCAATACTGAGCCCGAACATTACATCTCCCCCCGACACTTCGATGAGGTAAAAGGTGGAAGAGAAGAAGAATACTGAGCCCGCCTTTTAAAAAAAAAAAAGGTTTGTGTTGGTATCTTTCCATCTCCTCCAGACGACAGCGTTATATTGTGCCATAGGGAGGCTATGGTGTCGCAGCCCACGGTGGTGGCGAGTGTGACCAGCTCAAGGTTAGAAAAGTCTCACACAGTTAGAGCATGGAATGTCAGGACCGTTGCTGCCATCACATGCATTTAGTCTTCTCAGATGCTAAACTCTCAGCCTTTCTTCAATAATTTTGTTTCCCCTTTATTTCCAATTCCCTTCCTAATTTTCCCACACTGTGCAACGCTGTCTGTGGCATTTGGTTCCAACAAAATTACCTAAATACGTGTATTGATCCTTGAGGGATGTCGGATTTACAGGATCTTCTTCTTCTTCTCTTTTGTTCACCGGCTGTAAGCTCCGGCGGAAAGTCCTGGTTGTTCATCCACTTGAACTTTGGCTTTTTGCCAGGGCCTGAGTTTTGCGTGTACATCTGTTTTACTGGCTTATTTGTGTGCAGTTGGTTGTTCCTTGTGACTTCGCCAGATATACTCCGACTTAAAGGAAGTCCCCGTTAGTTAAAGAAGCAGTGGGTCAATTCTTGTTTTCCCTACAATGGGGCCCTGGAACCCACAGGGAACAAGATATTGAAATGCAGAATTGCCCACTTTGCTTCATGGGTTGAAAAAGTAATAAGGTGAAGGGCCCTTTTTCCCACTAGCAGGCATATGGTGCTGGAGCATTTATTTGTAAAAACCAATCAGCACTCTGTGGGTGGTGTGGTCTTCATTCTGCAGGCCACCTTTATTTTCCATGATGTTTCCTGGTATTGATTTTATGCTTTGTTGAACTGAAAATAATAATAATAATAATTTAAAAAAAAACTCATGCTGGGGATTTGAATCTAAAACCTTTGGGCCAGCAGGCAAACATCTAGCCATTGTGCTACCGCAAGTTCCATGCTTTGAGTAAACTCCCCATGTGGGTTTCAGGCCCCCATTGTGGGTCAAGGTGGGGGGGGGGAGGTGAGGGAGAATAGACCCACCGGTTCCCAATCTTATAAAAGCCGACTATTTAGGGGCGTTTTCTTTAAAAGTCAGAGTGCATCTGCCTGAGGAGCGATCAACCAACAGTCTGCATACAACTAAGCCATATCTGTAAAATGGAAGTGCATGCAAAGCTCAAGTTCTGGGACAAGAATCAAGTCCAGAAGTGAATGAACAACCAGAACTGACTGCTGGAGTTTACAGCTGGTGAACACAAACAGTAAGATTAAATGTATTGGAGGTGAAGTAAAATATTTGCTTGTTGAAATGAGTTTGTCATTCTTTCTTGTACCCGCCCTGTGTGCTTTGACAATTGTCACAATGGGAGAAGTACATTTATACTATGTCAAAGTCACCAAGATTGTCACGATGAGAGAAGTACATTAGCACTATGTCAAAGTCACCAAGATTGTCACGATGAGAGAAGTACATTAGCACTATGTCAAAGTCACCAAGATTGTCACGATAAGGAACAGAAAATGAAGTATCAGTTGGGATGCAATAATCAATATTACAGTTGGAAATCCCCAAGTGGGTTCCAGGGGAAAACAAAAATAGATCCACTACTTGCTCAACAAGCATGTTATAGGAGTCAACTAATTAGGGACATCCTTTGAAGTCGACTACCAGTCGATGTGCACCTGCCTGAGAGGCAAGAAACCACAAGTCTGCATACAGATAAGCCAGATCTGTGAAACGGATGCGCAAGCAACAATCAGGTTCTGAAGCAAGACTAAAGTCCGGAGGTGGGCGAACAATCAGAACTTTTCACCGGAGTTTACAGCCAGGGACTGCGAAAGAGAAGAATAAGAGAGCCAGAAAGGGGACAAGTTGTTTAGTACATGAATGTAATTTTTGTGTGTAAAGAGATCCCCGAGGGTTGTTACTGGTGCTGCAGAGTTAGTTATTCAGATAGAGTATTAAGGATCCTTTTAGCACCAGTGGCTAGTTATTCAGATAGAGTATTAAGGATACTTTTAGCACCAGTGGCTAGTTATTCAGATAGAGTAATAAGGATCCTTTTAGCAGCAGTGGCTCATTAGGCATATGATGCTAGACACATTTGTACAGACAGTCAGTGGGAGATGTCATCACCACACTGGCCACCTTTACTTCCAAAGATATTACCTGGTTGAGTCGATATGGAAACCAGGGTTGATTTTAAAGGAACAAACCCTAGCCCTTTTTGGCATCAGGCCAGTGATTAGCCACTAAATTACTATGGCTCCCACAGACAGGAAAATACCCAGTGCAATCTCTCTCTCTCACGCATGAGCACAGATATCTTGTCTCTTCTCGCAGACTCACAGCATGCTTTGCAAAGCTGAAACCGGTGTCCTCCGTGAAGAGAGGTTTGCTTCACTTGACAAGACTTCCCCGTGTGGGTTCCGGACCGCTACTATAGGAAAAACAAGAATAGACCCACTGCCTACTCAAAAGCATGTCGTAAGAGTCGACTAATTGGGAGCTTCCTTCGAAGTCGGAGTGCATCTGCCTAAGAGGCAAGGAACCAACAGTCTGCATACAGATCTGTCAAACGGATGCACATGCAAAACTCAGGTTCTGGAACAGGACTGCAGTCCAGGAGTGGATGAACAACCAGAACTTTCTGCCGGAGTTCACAGCCGGTGAACGCGAAAAAGAAAAGAAGAAGAACTTGAGACAAGACTCAGAACAGAAACACATAATAGATTTTCTGTCTAGGATATTTGAATGTACGGGATAATAAGCAGACTGATAGATCAGCTGCTGCCATTCCTCTGGGCTCTGAGCAACTTTATGATAAAGTGGACAAGGTGTAGGCTATCTGGGATCACATGGACAGTGCAGCAGAAAAGACAGAATCCGTACATTGAAAGAAAAATGCAGCGAAGGGCAAGTAGAGATTCTGGAAGATATTCTGACAGAAATTCTTCAGCTTGAGGAGGATTCAAACAAAAGCCCACTATCCATTACCCGTGTTACCCGCATGCCATAATGTTGATCCATTGTTCAAACTCCAAAGATACAGATCTGCACTACTAGGTGGTGATTTGATACCTGACAAGGCAGATGTAGTCAAAATCCTTTAGGAACAAGTAACAAAATCAGTAGAGAAAGATTATTATTATGGCCTGGAGAGAATGAGTCACCTGGGTGTAACCAGAGGGTCTGGCCGGCTCACTACACTCAGAGGAAAGGCAAGACAGACTTTTAACCAAAGTGTGACCGGTACCATCAGTATTGGAACCCTGCGTTGGCTGCTGAAGATGAGGACGGAGCATGCATGGGAATTCTCCGAGTGCTGTGATGTCACTTCTTGCCTGAACTCAACTGTGCATACAGTTCTTTTATCTTGTGATTTCTGCTCTTTTTTGGGGTTTGGGGGGGGGGGGGGGGTAACTAACAGGCAAGTTTGCTAGAGAGAACATTACTGTGACTCCTAGTAATGCCTGTCTATATATTAACTTGACTACTTGTAATGCTTGTCTATGCATTACTGTGACCCTTATAATGTCTGTCAATGCATAAATGTGACCTCTAGTACTGCATGTCTGTGCATTATTGTGACTCCTGGTACTGTCTGTCTGTCCATAATTGTGACTCCTGGTGCTGTCTGTCTATGCATTACTGTGACTCCCGGTACTGTCTGTCTATGCATTATTGTGACTCCTGGTATTGTCTATCTATGCATTACTGTGACTCCTGGTATTGTCTGTCTATGCATTACTGTGACTCCTGGTACTGTCTGCCTGTGCATTATTGTGACTCCTGGTACTGTCTGTCTATCCATTATTGTGACTCCTGGTACTGTCTGTCTATGCATTACTGCGACTCCTGGTACTGTCTGTCTACGCATTACTGTGACTCCTGGTACTGTCTGTCCATTATTGTGACTCCTGGTGCTGTCTGTCTATCCATTATTGTGACTCCTGGTACTGTCTGTCTACGCATTACTGTGACTCCTGGTACTGTCTGTCCATTATTGTGACTCCTGGTGCTGTCTGTCTATCCATTATTGTGACTACTGGTGCTGTCTGTCTATGCATTACTGCAACTCCTGGTACTGTCTGTCTATTATTGTGACCCCTGTTGCTGTCTGTCTATCCATTATTGCGACTCCTGGTGCTGTCTGTCTATCCATTATTGCGACTCCTGGTGCTGTCTGTCTATGCATTACTGCGACTCCTGGTACTGTCTGTCTATGCATTACTGCGACTCCTGGTTCTGTCTGTCTATCCATTACTGTGACTCCTGGTACTGTCTGTCTATCCATTACTGTGACTCCTGGTACTGTCTGTCTATCCATTATTGTGACTCCTGGTACTGTCTGTCTACGCATTACTGTGACTCCTGGTACTGTCTGTCCATTATTGTGACTCCTGGTGCTGTCTGTCTATCCATTATTGTGACTCCTGGTGCTGTCTGTCTATGCATTAATGTGACTCCTGGTACTGTCTGTCTATGCATTACTGTGACTCCTGGTACTGTCTGTCTATCCATTATTGTTACTCCTGGTACTGTCTGTCTATCCATTACTGTGACTACTGGTACTGTCTGTCTATCCATTATTGTGACTCCTGGTACTGTTTGTCTATCCATTACTGTGACTCCTGGTACTGTCTATCTATCCATTATTGTGACTCCTGGTACTGTCTATCCATTATTGTGACTCCTGGTACTGTCTGTCTATGCATTGCTGTGATGCATAGAACGGTCTGTCTATGCATTACTGTAACTCCTAGTACTGTCTGACTTTGAATTACTGTGACTCTTAGTACCATCTGTCTATAGATAACTGTCTATGCATTACTGTTACTCATAGTACTATCTATTCATGCATTACTGTGACTCCCAGTATTGTCTGTCTTTGCATTACTGTGACATAGTGCTGTCTGACTTTAAATTATTGTTACTCATAGTACTGTCTGTCTATGCATTACTGAGACTCCTAGTAATGTCTGTTTTTAAAATCCTGACTGGTGCCTGAAGATTTGGTCACTCTTGAGACCACAAGAATCTCATTCTTGATGGCAGACCAACAAGGCAAATTTGATATACCCCGTTCAAACCTATACAGAAATTAATTGTAACTGAGGCACACTTAATGGCTACATCAAGCTTTGGTGTATCTGGTAGTCCTGTGTAGGTAAGGGTTGTGGTTCCTAATACTAATGAAGCATCATAAAACAACCTAGCATGTTTACGATTCTGGATTTATTTCCCAAACTGAGCAATAGAAAAGTAACAAAAATATTTGTTTAAAAGCACATGACAGTGTTTGAGTGATTTTTAAAATAATAATTATAATAAAGCATTAAGAAATTCAGAAAGTATAAAACAAAGCATCATTATTTTACAAAATGGTAAACATTCAATTACTTTAAAAAAAGAAATAGGGTGGCTGCGTGGTCTCAGGCATGGTGTTAGCCTCGAGTGCTAGAGGTTCTGGGTTAAATCCTTGGTACGGGCTGGGATTTTTTCACGCTGACCTGAAAACCTGAACTTGAACTTCTAGCAATTTCCCTTGGTCTCTGGGTAGTGAGATCAGATGCCCGTGTGTATTGTTGCGCACGTAAAATATCCCTTAGTAGTTGAAAATTGTAAAGAGTAGCCTTACGGCGCTGCCTGAGCAAAATTTCAAATTAAAAATCAACCTAAAGTATTTCAGGATCCTCGCTGGTGCTACAGAGCCTGTGCACTGTGCTGAGCTTCTTCGGATTTAGACTTGAGTTAGAAATATAAAAAAAAAAAAAAAAGAATACTACAACTAATTATTTATTATTACAACTATACATATATATTTAACTAATACATTATACATATAAATAATATCAAAATTATGTTGAATTAAACACTTATATTTACCATTTAAAACTACATATACAATTTAATATCACCCGTAAGATTATCACACCTCAGATGACAGAATAGATAGTAATATGCTGTGGAGTTACTTACAAACTAACATTTGGAATTAGCAAACATCTATCAAAAAGTTTGTAACAGTTTATATACATCAAGTGAAAGGTATATATAAACATTTCATATTCTGATTTGTGATTTTTAATAAAGGACCCCTTTCTATGCCTTCTGGGCATATAGGGCTAGACCTATATTTTATAGACTAATTAACACTTGGTCGGTGATGTGATCAACATCACGCTGGCCACCTTTACTTCCCAGGAGTACCCCTGATACCCACTCTAGGCTGGGACGACCCGGGAGCCAAAGTCATTTTTTATGAAAGCCCCATTCTGTCAGCACCCAAGATTTGTTATTCTTGGTATAATTATTTTTTTTTTGGTTCTTTTTTTTTTTTAAATTGTTCTTTAATTGCTTCAAGCTTTTTTCGACATCTCGTCCGTTGGTGTTTTTGGTCCTAATGCTTTGCATAAATGGCTTTATTGTTATGTTTTGACTGTAGAATTGTATGCCTGTGTATATGTGTGCGGCTCATGCATCTTTGTAAAATATTTCTAAATGTTTTATAATTCTGTCTGTTTTTCTCTGTTGGATTTCTTCTGTATTCTTGGACTGCCTGATTTTCTGCTCTCCATTGCAGCTGTACACCGGTCATCTCACCTCTTCATGAGGTCCTTGTTTCTGTGTATTTTGCATTTAACAGTTGTCTGTTCATTATTTGAGTGGCAGTGCTTAATTTGATGTGCTCTGTGCTTCAAAGCTGTTTTTAACATTTTGATTATTATCTCTACACATAATGTCGGATCCTCCTGCTCTTTCGGTACTTTGTCTTCTTTTGCTAACTTTTTCTTGAAAGTCTTCTTCTCAGCTGTAACCTTTGGTTGACCACAGTGTTTTCCCAAACATTTCTTGGTCGCGGCACCTTTTTACAATTGTTTCCACAGCGCCCTAACCTAAGTAAAAGTATGACTATTCGTGTCTTGGTTAAATTAATTATGAAGCTTTTACAACATTTTGCGGCGCCCCGGGGCTCACAGTTTGGGAATCACTGGTCTACCAGGTATACCTGCTGCCTGGCATGTTCTTGATTAGGGCTTGTCCATGCCAGGTTTTATTTCTTGTCGCCCCCACATCCAAATTCTACAGAGGCTTGCAAAATCTGCAGAAGCAGTACAGTCTTGGCAGGAAAATATATGACATATTTATTAAGCTGATTCCGTGGAAATGGAAGAAAAAGCAAAAGTACTTAAATCCAGTGAAAGCGCTGGATAGTGATGATTGTTTAAATATATTTTAACATGGACAATAATGGAATATATTTTGTTACCGATTCCCCTATCACATCTGTATCACCCTGAAATATCACTGTAAACCAAATGTGAAACTAAAGTGTTGTACGCCCGGAGCATTACTGTATACCAAGCTTTTGTTTGATGTAAGCAACAACAAGCTTCTGGGGCCTGGTCTGCCATTGCTCCATGACAGAATGGGGTGTAGTAATCTGATCACCCTTGAGTCTGTCCAGCAGTGTTACACAAATCACTGCACCTGTGGAGAAAATAGTTCCTAATAAGTGTATGAACACATGTAGAGTTGATCTGAAAATCATACAACAAATCAAGATGGCGACAAAAGTGGATGCAGCATGAATCACTATTTTTGTGTGTATATGAGACAGTGAGAAATCAAGACATACAGAAAAAAAAAAAGGAAAACCTTATTTAGAGGTTAGGGGATGCACTTCACACTTTCATCATCTTTGAGTACTACTGTTTGATTATCACATCTGGACTTCTGGCCAAAATGGAGAATTAGGCATCACAGAATGTTTGGTTTTGAAGTTATTTTTGCTTCCGACAGTGCTTTGCTAATGCAGTTTCCACATATAGACAGTGTTCTACGGTTCCGCTGCCTGAGCTACTGAGCTTAGTGCTTGGTGCAGCACTGTGAGCTGTGATTTTCATGTGAAATGCCTTTCATTTGTGAAGCAGCTGAATCATGGTATTCAATATGGCTGGTAGTCGGTTTACGCGTGCATGGCCAACTTATTGTGCCTGACTATTTCCATCAATGAATGGCAAACTGTATTTCTGGTGCAGACTGGGGGGGGGGGGGGATAGACCCACTGCTTCCTAACAAGTATGTCATATAAGGTGCTTAATTAAGGGTTTGCTGTAATCACATCTGTTGGCAAAGGACACACATACTGCAGCTTACCTGTAAACCACAACATAATGTGCCACCCTCCCCTTTATGAGGGAACTCAGAAGGAGACAAAAAAAAGAACAATTCTTCTACTTCTTCTCGTTCACCGGCTGTAAACTCTGGCAGAAAGTTCTGGACTGCAGTCCTCTTCCAGAACCTAAGTGTTGCGTGTGCATCCGTTTGACAGATTTGTATGCAGACTGTTGGTTCCTTGCCTCTCACGCAGATGCACTCCGACTTTGAAGGAAGCTCCCAATTAGTCGACTCTTACAACATGCTTTTGGGTAGGCAGTGGGTCAATTCTTGTTTTTTCCCAAAGTAGGGCCCCGGAACCCACATGGGGATGAGAAGAACAATTAAATATAGAGTGTACTATCTCCCCCTCCCCAAACACACACACACAAGAGAGAGAGAAGAAGAAGAAGAAAAAGAAGAATGACAGAAAGAAAAAAAGAACACATAAAAGGTATGAATCAAATAGGTAAGTAACCAGACATGTTGCATACCTCTGATTCCGGCACGATGGCAGTAGGCTGCAAAACAGAGAGACTCCATTTCAATGTTGCGGATTCCATGATTGTAGGCTTGGTTCAGGAAAGCCATTTTGTCTTTTTGTGTATAGTCACAGAATGCCCCATCCAGTCTGGCTTGTCCTGATAGTGATAATGTTTACAGTTTAGTTTGTGTTTAAACCTAAACACTTAAAAAGTATCATAAACTACATCATTTGGCTTAACTCTGTTGTCCTGAAAAGCCACAAACCCAGCCTTTTCTCTGAGTTAAGTTAAGAATTGACATCACAGCACTAGGGGCATTCTCGTGTGTGCTCCGTCCTCATCTTCAGCAGCCAGTGCAGAGTTCCAATACTGATGGTACTGGTCACAATCTGGTTATAGGTCCGCCTTGCCTTTCCTCTGAGTGTAGTGAGCCGGCCAGACCCTCTGGTTACACCCAGGTGCCTCATTCTCTTCAGGCCATAATAATCTTGTTTTTCTACTTATTCCGTTGCTAGTTCCCAGAGGGCCTTGACCAAATCTGCCTTGTCGGCATTTTCTCTGATGCATTACATTGTTGGAAGATTCTGTTTTGCCTGCACAGTGTTTACAGTGCATTTCAAAAGTCGTACTCTACCGCTCTAACAAATATCTCAAAAACTTCTTTAAAAAATCAACAGCAATTTTTGCATGTGGCCTTAGATTTCCCATATCCCTAAGATGTTATAATTTACAACTGTTTATAAATCAATTCACATGTGCAGTGAATTGTGGTGATTACTTTGATAGTCTATCCTGCAAACAATGAAAAATCCACAACTCACGGGGGCGCTAATGCTGGAGATAGTGACCTGAAGGAGAGAAACGTCTATGAAATGCATGCAAGCTGATGTTTGGAAGAGTTCCCCTTACTCAGTTAACTTTAAGCATGCTGACAATTAGCTTTGAATCAGTGTCAGTTTTTTCATATACCTAAAAGAAGTCAAAATGGAGAGAGCTGCATGCAATAGTGAAGGACAGAATGACTTGGCGTGAGTTGGTTGAGGGCCTATGCTCCACTGGGGGGTTAGAAAGGCAGATGAAGAAGTAAAAGACTGTTCTCAAGGCTTTCAGACTTAGTGAAAGCGTAGCCTGGAAGAGACTGTGGCCTCACCACACAATGTTTCCATAGTCAGCAGTTGATACACTGGGGCCAAACTCCCATTGCGAAGACAGCACAATGTTTAGTTTCAAACAAACAAACTTTATTTTTAAAGGGTTAAGAATCAGGCATGCAAGACCATCTAACATTCTGCCCTTCCACTCCAATCGTTGCATACAGTTATTCACCTGTGCATCATTTCGCAATTAATAATATGAGGGAGCATCAGGTGACTGAAGAAAATAAAAAAATACAATCAAAGTGTTTGTCTGGGTAATTTCCCAATGGTTATAATATTCAGAATAATGTTTTACTGTCAACAGAAAGGCTACATTACCGTGGAATATAAAAAAGGTTTTGTAAGCATGCAGACAAAGGGTGGTAGGATGACAAGGGTGGCATGCAGACAGAGGGTGGCATGCAGACAGAGGGTGGCAGGATGACAGAGGGTGGCAGGATGACAGAGGGTGGCAGGATGACAGAGGGTGGAATGCAGACAGAGGGTGGCAGGATGACAGAGGGTGGCAGGATGACAGAGGGTGGCATGCAGACAGAGGGTGGCATGCAGACAGAGGGTGGCATGCAGACAGAGGGTGGCATGCAGACAGAGGGTGGCATGCAGACAGAGGGTGGCATGCAGAGGGTGGCAGGTTGACAGAGGGTGGCATGCAGACAGAGGGTGGCAGGATGTCAGAGGGTGGCATGCAGACAGAGGGTGGCAGGATGACAGAGGGGCATGGACAGAGGGTGGCAGGATGACAGAGGGTGACAGACAGAGGGTGGCATGTAGACAGAGGGTGGCAGGATGACAGAGGGTGGCAGGATGACAGAGGGTGGCAGGATGCAGAGGGTGGCAGGATGACAGAGGGTGGCAGGATGACAGAGGGTGATGACAGAGGGTGGCAGGGTGGCAGGATGACAGAGGGTGGCAGGATGACAGAGGGTGGCAGGATGACAGAGGGTGGCATGCAGACAGAGGGTGGCAGGATGACAGAGGGTGGCAGGAGTGACAGAGGGTGGCAGGATGTCAGTAAGGGAATGGCTGACTGAGATAACACGAGATTTATGAGTTTCAGAGAGGTGAAAGTCAGGTTTTATGACATGAGAGGGTGAACCATGCAGTTGACTGACAGAGGGTGGCAGGATGACAGAGGGTGGCAGAATGAAATGATCCAGAGGGTGGCAGGATGACAGAGGGTGGCAGAAAGGTTTGTGAGGAGTCTCGTTTAGGCCAAGACAGAGGTGTACGTGTGAAGAAGTACGGAAGAATGGTTGTCGTCTGAATAGCGTGATTTCCCAATGCCTACCTGGCATGAAATAGCGGCTGACGGAAAAGGGTGGCCAGCTGTGAATGACTGTCGCCTGGTGGATGGTACTGTGAGTCATTTTGTTCTACCATTACAAAGGTATGACTGACTGTTTAGATGATTGAATAAGTAATAAATGCTAAGGCGAATGTTTTGACTGACTGAGATAACACGAGATTTATGTCTTGAGTTTCATGAGAGACATTCTGAAAGTCAGGTTTTATGAAAGAAACATGATTGTTCACGTGAACCATGAAGGTTGCACTGGCAGGATTCAGTGTGAAATGCAGGATTATCAGGGGCCAGATGACGACTGGCAGGATGACGGTGGGGAATTCGTGAGAATGAAATTATCCAGAATGTTCGAGAACATGACAGCATCAGAGGGGGCTATGATAATAGCGAAGAAGAGTTTTGTGAGGCAGTCTCGTTTAGGCCAGAGGGAAGGTGTACAGTGTGTAAAGAAGTCCGGAAGGAAGAATGTTGTCGTCTGAATAGACGTGGGTGGCAGGATGTCCTAGGGTGGCATGCAGAAAGAGCGGCTGGCGGAAACAGAGGGTAGCAGGTTGACAGAGGGTGACATGTAGACGCCTGGCAGGATGGAGGGTGGATGCAGACAGAGGGTGGCAGGATTTCAGAGGGTGGCAAGATGTCAGAGGGTGGCATGCAGATTCTACGCATGCAGACAAAGGTATGACAGAGGGTGGCTGTTTGACAGAGGGTGGCAGGTTGACAGAGGGTGGCAGGATGACAGAGGGTGGAATGCAGACAGAGGGTGCAGGATGTCAGAGGGTGGCAGAATGACAGAGGGTGGCATGCAGACAGAGGGTGGCAGGATGACAGAGGGTAAAATGCAGACAGTGCAGGATGTCAGAGGGTGGCAGGATGACAGAGGGTGGCATGCAGACAGAGGGTGGCAGGACGACAGAGGGTGGCAGGATGGACAGAGGGTGGCAGTAACAGAGGGTGGCAGGATGACAGAGGGTGGCAGGATGACAGAGGGTGGCAGAATGACAGAGGGTGGCAGAATGAGGGTGGCCATGACAGAGGGTGGCAGGATGACAGAGGGTGGCAGAGACAGAGGGTGGCAGGATGACAGAGGGTGGCAGGATGACAGAGGGTGGCATGAGACAGAGGGTGGCAGGCATGACAGAGGGGCAGACAGAGGGTGCAGACAGAGGGTGGCAGGATGACAGAGGGTGGCAGGATGACAGAGGGTGGCATGCAGACAGAGGGTGGCATGCAGACAGAGGGTGGCATGCAGACAGAGGGTGGCAGGATGACAGAGGGTGGCATGCAGACAGAGGGTGGCAGGATGACAGAGGGTAGCAGGTTGACAGAGGGTGGCAGGATGACAGAGGGTGGCAGGATGACAGAGGGTGGCATGCAGACAGAGGGTGGCATGCAGACAGAGGGTGGCATGCAGACAGAGGGTGGCATGCAGACAGAGGGTGGCAGAGACAGAGGGTGGCAGGATGACAGAGGGTGGCAGGTTGACAGAGGGTGGCAGGTTGACAGAGGGTGGCAGAATGACAGAGGGTGGCAGGATGACAGAGGGTGGCAGGATGACAGAGGGTGGCAGGATGACAGAGGGTGGCAGAATGACAGAGGGTGGCAGGATGACAGAGGGTGGCATGCAGACAGAGGGTGGCAGGATGACAGGGAGGCAGGATGACAGAGGGTGATGACAGAGGGTGGCATGCAGACAGGTGGCAGCAGACAGAGGGTGGCATGCAGGGTGGCAGGCAGACAGAGGGTGGCAGGCAGACAGAGGGTGGCAGGATGACAGAGGGTGGCAGGATGACAGAGGGTGGCATGACAGACAGAGACAGGGGTGGCATGCAGACAGAGGGTGGCAGGATGACAGAGGGTGGCAGGATGACAGAGGGTGGCATGCAGACAGAGGGTGGCAGGATGACAGAGGGTGGCAGGATGACAGAGGGTGGCATGCAGACAGAGGGTGGCAGGATGTCAGAGGGTGGCAGGATGTCAGAGGGTGGCATGCAGACAGAGGGTGGCATGCAGACAGAGGGTGGCAGGATGACAGAGGGTGGCAGGTTGACAGAGGGTGGCAGGATGACAGAGGGTGGAATGCAGACAGAGGGTGGCAGGATGTCAGAGGGTGGCATGCAGACAGAGGGTGGCATGCAGACAGAGGGTGGCAGGATGACAGAGGGTGAAATGCAGACAGAGGGTGGCAGGATGTCAGAGGGTGGCAGGATGACAGAGGGTGGCATGCAGACAGAGGGTGGCAGGATGACAGAGGGTGGCAGGATAACAGAGGGTGGCAGGATGACAGAGGGTGGCAGGATGACAGAGGGTGGCAGGATGACAGAGGGTGGCAGGATGACAGAGGGTGGCAGGATGACAGAGGGTGGCAGGATGACAGAGGGTGGCAGGATGACAGAGGGTGGCAGGATGACAGAGGGTGGCAGGATGACAGAGGGTGGCAGGATGACAGAGGGTGGCAGGATGACAGAGGGTGGCAGGATGACAGAGGGTGGCAGGATGACAGAGGGTGGCAGGATGACAGAGGGTGGCAGGATGACAGAGTGTGGCAGGATGACAGAGGGTGGCAGGATGACAGAGGGTGGCAGGATGACAGAGGGTGGCATGCAGACAAAGGGTGGCATGCAGACAGAGGGTGGCAGGATGACAGAGGGTGGCAGGATGACAGAGGGTGGCAGGATGACAGAGGGTGGTAGGATGACAGAGGGTGGCAGGATGACAGAGGGTGGCATGCAGACAAAGGGTGGCATGCAGACAGAGGGTGGCAGGATGACAGAGGGTGGCAGGATGACAGAGGGTGGCAGGATGACAGAGGGTGGCAGGATGACAGAGGGTGGTAGGATGACAGAGGGTGGTAGGATTACAGAGGGTGGCAGGATGACAGAGGGTGGCAGGATGACAGAGGGTGGCAGGATGACAGAGGGTGGCAGGATGACCATCAGGCTGAAGGCAAATGTGCTAGTCAGTGTGCTGCTCCAGGTCTCTCAAAGAAGGGTTAAGGATAATAGAACCCTATCAGTTCTGTCATGGAGGGGGTGGGAAGGGGAGAGACACAGAGAGAGAGACAGAAAGAGAAAGAGAGGATAAACAGGCAGGCTGAGAGAATGACACAGACAGACAGGTAGGTAAACAGACTGGCAGAGACAGAGAGAGCTGGAATAAACTACTCTACCTTCATAAAAGTCCAGGGTACACATAGTTTTGCCAACAAGGGTCTGGTAGTTATCTTTCTGCAAGTTAGCCAGAGAGAGTAGCTCCTGCTGCAAGCCAGGATCTAGCTGGGAGGAGTGTTGCACTACCTTGCCCAATATCACCTGGTTGTGTCATTTAACAAAAACAATTAACATAGCATCATTACTGAAATAGGGAGCCACCGTGGTGTAGCAGCTAGATTCTTGCCTGCAGATTCTAAGGTCATGGATTCAAATCCACGTGGAGCCGGATGTTTTCAAACATGAACTTGGCTCCTATTTTGACCCAGCCTTAAATGGGTACCATTTCTAATCCTGGAAAGTAAAGGGATGTTGACCACATCAGCCATCAAGAGCTGACTAGTCTATCAAAGTATAAGTTTAGCTTCATAAGCCGGATGCACTCCTGGCATGGCAGGGACCTTTAGATTACTTTACTGGTGGCTAAACTTCTTAGGTCTGAGGGACAGTAGACTGTGGTCGATGCACTGGTAACTCCTGCAATATACAAAGTATAAATCCTGGCACTTTCTTGTAGTTTATACTAGAGTATACTAGAGCTGTACCAAACATTCACTTTGTATTCGCTTCAGGGCCGAATAATGGACTAATAAGTATTCGGTATTCTGCTCAATACTTGCGGTTCAGACCGAATATGAACAGTGGTTACGTTACACCTACTTCTGCATACACGGAAGCTGCTGCAACCACTGCAAACTGCTTGTTATAATACTTACAATACTTTCATTCCTAGGTATTAGTTACCACAGACTGACTGAAGGATGCAAAACATAAAATGTTTTTAAATGTTTACTATTCTGTACTATATTTTGTGAAGTAAAAGTTCAGCTTACATTTGACATTATGAATGTGTTTTTTTTTTAGATCTATTCTATATACTATACACTATTCGTATTCGGCTGAATAGTCGGTCCCGTTATTCGTATTTGGCCGAAAAGTGATAATCACTTTTTCAGTACAGCTCTAGTTTATACTTTACCTCGACACCGCAAAGTACAAGAGGACATAGATGAGATGCAATGAAATGAATGAAATAAAAAAATAGAAAAAAAAGGAAAACACCCTACTAGATCCATGTAAGGTCTCAGCAAACCATCAACGGCCTCATCAGTGATTACAACACTGCCTGGTTCCAAACCTGGAAATCATACCAGAAGAGAACATAGAAGCATTGATATTCAACTAACATCATCCTTATCGCCATCATTCTCTTCTTCTTATCTTTATGTTTTTTCTCTTCTTATTTTGTGGTTATAACAAAATGACACACAAATAAGCTAGATCTGTAAACTAGATGTGCATGCAGAACTCTGTCGGCTCTGTGGCTAAGTCGATGCGAACGCTTTGTAATGCCGGGATGCCAGGTTCGATCCCAGCTGTGGGCCATGTGCCTTGCGTTGGTTTCGACAGTAGTATCCAGAAAGCCCAGAAAGCAATCGCAAACTACTGGATGTAAATTTGCCTAGAAAAACCACGCAACAGCCAGGGGCTGTTGGGGTTGGTTCTGCAAGGTTACGCAACTAACCTTGTGCAGAACTCAAGTTCACAAACAATACCAAAGTCCAGAAGTGGCTGAACAACTTCAACTTTCCGCTGGAGTTTACAGCCGGTGAACAATAAGAAGACAAAGTAGTTCCCTTCTCTGTTTACACCAGTCTTAACATTATAAAAAAAAAAAAAACAACACAAATGTTGACAAAATCGGTCCTGAAATCCAATGCTGTAATTGTGGAAAACTTTTTTTAATGGGGGCAGGTTTGCTAGTCACACTCGCCATGGGCTGTGAGTCCCATTCCTCCTCATAGTGCGATATAACACTATCTTCTGGAAAGACGGAAAGATGCCAATCACCAATCAATAAATCAACATTATTCTCATCAAACCCAACCCTACTGTCTCCAGTTTCTTCAATTTTGCATTAACTATACATCAGAATTGTCAACCAAAAAAAAAAAAAAACGGTTTTAAGTTAATAGCAAATAAAAGGTTCCTAATAGAGAACTCACCATGGAAAAACCTTGCAGTTATAAAGAATGAATGTCGAATGCTGAATTAGGAATCAACATCACAGCATTTGGAACACCCCCCATAACCCCTCAGTCCCCATCTTCAGCAACAAATGAAGAGCTGCAATTCCGATGGCACCAGTAACTGTATGTATATGCGTCTCGCCCTTCCCCCGAGTGTTCAGCGTTGGCCAGATCCCCTGGTAACTCCTCGCAGCGCCATTCTCCACAGACTGTTATGATCTATCTGTTCCTCCGCACTGTTCACGCGCTCCCAAAGGGCCCTTACAATACCTAGCTTGTCATACATCAATTCACAACCAAGTGGTGCAGAGCTGGCCAATCTATCTCTATAGCCTGCTCATTTCCCAACACACCAGCACGACCTGGAGTAAATATCTAAAGGACGCTAACTTTCCAGGATCTCTGAAGTTTATAAAGAACACAAGTAGAAGGAAGTTTTTTTCATAAGAGAGAAAAACACTGTAACTGTAACTGAAACTCACCCAAACCACCGCTTGTTCCGAGCCGGAAAAATACAACATCCCTACAGCCAGCGTGGTGAACCAGTTTCACAATCTCATGAAAGATAATTGACAGGGAAGGGATGCCCATTCCATGCTATTAAAAAAAAATACAAGAACATATCAGCTAACATCATACACTAGAATGAATTAATGAATAAATTCTATTTTCAAAAGAATAGAATTGGGGATGCAGACCTATCTAACATTCTGCCCTTCCAGTCTTACTCTTTGCAAACAGTTATTTATTTATACATCATTTGATACATCATAAAAAGCATTTTCAATGACATCCAATTCTTAATTACAAATGCTGGAATGTGCTCTTATCATACTAAGTTTAAAAAAAAAACTGGTTGTGGTTTTTCCAGGCAAATTTTTACGTTCAGCAGTTTGCCATTGCTTTCTAAGTGGTCAGCGCTCGGTAACAATGTCGAAACCACCGCAAGTCAAATTGTCCGCAGCTGGGATCGAACCCAGTTCAAACGGCTTAGCCAGAGATGCGGACGTAGTAGTAGTAGTATTTGTAGAAATATCTAGTTCAATCCTTAGGGCTACAAAAAAGATACAAACTGTCCAGATGTTTCAAAAAACAGTCTTTTGGAAATTCATTTCCATGTATACTTTTTGCAAACTGATATATCACATGATTTATACATTTAATTCATGCAGTGGCAAGCAACTCACAATTGATATGTTGCTTATATTGTTCATTTAAAGATCATCTTCAACGCACATCAGACAAGACCATAAGTGCTCCGATCTCCTCCTGAGTATGTCTCCAAGTGTTTATAGGCTAACAACTCCTATTCTGTTCTGGCTGATGCAACGACGGGTGGCTATCGCATGGTTTTCCTGTCTCGCCGCTCTATCGGTACACCCAGGGTATGCAGTCTGTTCAGTGAAAAATCACTTTTCAGGAAAATGAAAGCCTCTCAGCGTTTAGTCTCTCGTATGACATCGTATGTTTCTTCTGTGCATATGGGCCTGTTCCTGATAGTCGAATTTTGTTGCTTTCATTTTATAGGATCTACTTATCTGAAGTTCTGTGACCCCTTGTTTCATTAACCAATCTGTCCCAGTTCTTGCATTTAATTCCTGTACCAAAGTGTTGTTATTTTGATCTTTTTTGTGTGTGCCGATTCCACAATGAAGTTAAAGTTAGTTGCGCATTCTTTACAGAACGTTGCAGAACCAACCCTAGCATGTTTTGGCTGTTGTAGTTTTTCTAATCAAATTTACATCCAGTAGTAGTTTGCCATTGCTTTCTGGATGGTCGGCTTCTGGATACCACTGTTGAAACCAACGCAAGGCGTAAGGTCTGCAGCTGGGATCAAACCTAACACCCCGGCATTACGAGCCACTTTCGCAACGCCTAAGCCACAGAAGCCGACCCACAATGAAGACTAACTAAAAAATAACAACTGCTATCTTTGAGAAACTATCTGGTTAGGCTCTTGTCTCTTCTACGGTGCAACTCTTGTATTTTCTCTTGCTGTCCTTAATCCCCCAATAGTGTACAGGCCTTAAACCAACTCTCGCAGTCATCCTATCCTTTGCTATTACATGCAGCTCACCCCACTATCTTTTAGCTTCCTTCTCAAGCTGTCTTCGCCATTTTTTTTAAGGTCTACCTTTATTTCTATACCCCTGTGGGTTCCAGTACAAAGTCATTCTAGTTTTATTAAGGTTTTCTCAAAGTGTGTCCTATCCAATGCCAGCCTCTTTTCTTCACCTTTTTGTTCAATTATTTACTTTTCTCCAAAAGCTCAGCAATAGTGATTCTATGAGACCATTTAACTCCTTCTATTCTCTACAGACACTAGTCAATGAATATCAGTAGTTTATTATCCAAAAATGATGAGAACTGTTTCTTAGAATGGAATGAGGTAAAGTCCTGCCCGCTTGGTACTGAAAGAGTTAATGTTTCCTCAAGGTTTATGTACTCATATTTCATTATTAACAGATTCCAACATACGTTCTCTAAGAGGAAAGTTGAAATAAACTTACGCTGACTGATATGACAGGTCCCACTTTATATAGGACATACCTGTCAGAGCCATGGGCAATGTTACACAAGGTCTGTCCGGCAGGGATCTTTATCTTCAGCTCCGGCACTAAGTATTCAGCAAATGCCCGCATTCTGTTTGGCGAACCACCAAAACAAACAAACTAAAATAGGACAGAAAATAGACAACTGTTACATCTCTGGAGATTTTGAGTCAAAGACAATGAACCGTCTGCTGGGAATGGGTTTTAAATGAGAATACCCCTATGTGGGTTCCGGAGCCCTATTGTTGGGAAAACAAGAATAGACTCACTGCCTACCCAAAAGCATGTCGTAATAGTAGACTAATTGGGAGCTTCCTTCAAATTTGGAGTTCATCTGCCTGAGAGGCAAGGAACCAGAAGTCTGCATAAAGATGAGTCAGATATGTCAAACGGATGCACACGCAACACTCGGGTTCTGGAACAGGACTGCAGTCCAGAAGTGGACGAACAACCAGAACTTTCCACCAGAGTTTACAGCTGGTGAACGTGAAGAAGAAGAAGAAGAAATGAGAACAAGCATGTAGAAATAGGTTGTGGGGTAAACAAAGAAGGTATAGCAGTCAACTCCTACTGGGTCTGCTGACCGCTGAGATGGCTGCTGCACAGTCAGCTCCTACTGGGTCTGCTGACCGCTGAGATGGCTGCTGCGCAGTCAACTCCTACTGGGTCTGCTGACCGCTGAGATGGCTGCTGCGCAGTCAGCTCCTACTGGGTCTGCTGACAACTGAGATGGCTGCTGCGCAGTGAACTCCTACTGGGTCTGCTGACCACTGAGATGGCTGCTGCGCAGTCAGCTCCTACTGGGTCTGCTGACCGCTGAGATGGCTGCTGCGCAGTCAACTCCTACTGGGTCTGCTGACCGCTGAGATGGCTGCTGCGCAGTCAGCTCCTACTGGGTCTGCTGACAACTGAGATGGCTGCTGCGCAGTCAACTCCTACTGGGTCTGCTGACCGCTGAGATGGCTGCTGCGCAGTCAACTCCTACTGGGTCTGCTGACCACTGAGATGGCTACTGCGCAGTCAATCCTAATGGGTCTGCTGACCATTGAGATGGCTGCTGCGCAGTCAACTCCTACTGGGTCTGGTGACCGCTGAGATGGCTGCTGCTCAGTCAACTCCTAATGGGTCTGCTGACCGCTGAGACACTGAGATGGCTGATGCGCAGTGAACTCCTACTGGGTCTGCTGACCACTGAGATGGCTGCTGCGCAGTCAACTCCTAGTGGGTCTGCTGACCACTGAGATGGCTGCTGCACAGTCAACTCCTATTGGGTCTGCTGACCGCTGAGACACTGAGATGGCTGGTGCGCAGTCAACTCCTACTGGGTCTGCTGACCACTGAGATGGCTGGTGCGCAGTCAACTCCTACTGGGTCTGCTGACCACTGAGATGGCTGGTGCGCAGTCAACTCCTACTGGGTCTGCTGACCACTGAGATGGCTGCTGCATCTGAGGATGGAGAATGAAAGAGTTGGACCGATGTGCTGGGATGCCAACAAGTAACATCTCTGTCCACTGTTCTGTGAACCATCAAGACACACACACACAAAACAAACAACAACAAAAAACCTTTGCCATCTCAGAACATGGACAGTACTGTGTAAATTCTCCATGGGTTACAGGGCTCTCACTGAGAGAGAGGGAGGGGAAGCTCATCTACTTTAAGACAGATTGGAATTAGTGAAGGATCTGGGATCATGTGGATAGTACAACATAACAGATAGAGCATCAGTACCGGGAGAGGGTGATTCTTCTTTTCTTCTGCCCTCTATCCCCCAATGGAGCAAAAGGCCCTCAACTAACTCAAGCCAAGTCATCCTATCCTTTGCTACTGCATGCAGCTCACCCCATGTCCTCCCCATCTTTTTAACTTCCATCTCTAGCTCCTTCACACTGTCATCATTCTTTTACTAGAAGAGCCTCTCCCTAGCTTTATTAACTGGGTATTTCTTGTTTCTCTTTTTGACTTTTTTATGCTGCTTGGTTTTTGTAGCTATTGTTTTTTACAGAATGAGGTAGCCAACCCCAAGCCCAATCCCACCCTTAGTTGTCTCTTATGACATGCCGGGCAGGGTGCAGTGTCACGATTCTTTGCTTTTCGCAAAGGTCCTGGAGGATGATTCAGCAGAAAGCAAAGAGTCTGGACAATTTTCATTCCACACAGGAAGAAAAGGCAAGACTTTCAATTACGCTGCCACCCGTGTGGGTTCCGGGGCCATATAATAGGAAAAACAAAAATATGTCCACTGCTTATCCTATAAGCATGTTGTAAGAGTCAACTAATTGGGAGCTTCCTTCGAAGAGCATCTGCCTGAGAGTCAAGGAACCAACATCCGCACACAAATGTGTCAGATCTGTCAAACTGATGCCCGTGAATCACTCAGATTCTGGAACATGACTGCAGTCTAGAAGTACACAAACAAACAGAACTTTCCACCAGAGTTTACAGCTGGTAAATGCAAAGAAGAAGAATCAGGTTGCAACCTGCACCACTAGTAGGAGGACTTCGCTGGCTGCTGAAGAAGGGGATGAAGCACATCTGGGAATGTCCAGAGTGCAATTATGTCAATTCTTGATTGATTCAATCATTCTCAACTCACTATTTTCAAGGTTTTCTGAGGTATGCAGCTAAGCTAATTTCCTTGCACTCTGAAGGTTGTGGCTTCAGACAGTTGATGTTTATTCTCTGCGGCTACTCTAAGATATGACTGCTTGTAGCACTTTGAGCCTTTTTGTAAAAGTTAGCTCTTGCCTTCTAATGCTATACCATACCAGGCATACGTCAAAAGAGGAGAGGAACATATAGCATGAGGTAGACCAAGAACCTATGGAAAGATAACATCACAGAAACTTTACAGCATCATGATGTGTCTATGGTTGAAGCAGGACCTCATTTCTCCCTCGACACCCAAAGCGGTAAAAGAGGAAGTGAAGAAGAAGAAGAAGATACTACTGGGTTATCTCTTATATATTTCAGAATTATCTTCGTGGCTTCAATCTGTATATGTGCATTTTATCTGCTGACACTTTGATATGGTAAGCCTTCCATGTCATTAATCTATCACCAAGAGGATTACATGCTGGAAAATTGTGAACAGCATTCCTTGTTCTGTGAACACTGCTGCCATAATAGTGAGTGCACTGAAGGTTCTTGCCTTCTAATGCTATACCATATCAGGCATACCTCAAAAGAGGAGAGGAACATAGAGCATGAGGTAGACCAAGAACCTATGGAAAGATAACATCACAGAAACTTTACAGCATCATGATGTGTCTATGGTTGAAGCAGGACCTCATTTCTCCCTCGACACCCAAAGCGGTAAAAGAGGAAGTGAAGAAGAAGAAGAAGAATACTGTTTGCCATGTTTCTGCAATCGCATCAACATGGTTTCTGAAGGACAGGCTTCTATCGAAAAGTGATACCCAGGTATCGTGGACTAGGCCATATGGGTCATATCTTCTTCTTCTTCTTCACATTCACCAGCTGTAAACTCTGGTAGAAAGTTCTGGTTGTTCATCCATTTTTGGACTGCAGTCCTGTTCCAGAACCTGAGTGTTGTGTGTGCACCTGTTTGACAGATCTGACTTACTTGAATCCAGACTGCTGGTTCCTTGCCTCTCAGGCAGATGCAATCTGACTTTGAAGAAAGCTCCCAATTAGTCGACTCTTAGAACATGCTTTTGGGTAGGCAGTGGGTCTATTCTTGTTTTCCCTATAATAGGACCCCAGAACCCATACAGGGAAGGGTCATATCTGTGTCACCATGAGGGCCACACAAGACAACTAATTAGAGTCAGTTAATAAAACTTATTGCAGAATATTTCCTTTAAGCGGGCCGCCGGTGTACTTGCAAAGGACAACATGCAGCCTGCAGGCCGCCAGTTTGACATGCCTGCGTTAGACTATTTTCTCTTTATATATCTAACAACAACATGCACTGAGTGATCAAAATACCTACAGGGTCACCATGGTAATAAAGGGTTAATAATAAAACAAGTGTTGTTAGGGGTTGAAAGGGCTAAAGACATGACACGCTGAACAAGCTACTGGAGAGGTGGGGTTTACTTGCCTTGACGTCACCGAACATATCCTTGAGGTCATGGGTCTTGTTGCTCAGTGCGATGTGATATAAAACATCTTCATCCATATCTGTGAGATGTGGATTCTGAATGTCAAGTCTGCCATCTCTGAAAGCCGACATGACATTGAGATCAAATTTCTTTGACACTGTATGCATAATCTTATCCATCCACACACACACATATTCATATGCATTATATACATACATGCACACACACATGGACAAACACAAATGCATACACATATATACACACATACAAACATACATACATAAACACACACATACACACATGTATACATGCACACACACACATACACATATACATACATGCAGACATGCACACATACACACACATACATACATACATACATACATACACACACACATGCGTGTGCAAGTGCCTGTATGTACGCGAGCGCACTTGTATGCACGCGTGAGCGCTTGTATGCACGCACATATACACACATATTTACAAACATATGACCCCCAAGGGCTGAGAATAATGAGAGTGATAAAGAAAGCAAAGAATTCCCAAGAACAGCACTGTTTCATTTATGTTAAGAAGCTGTTTTCCAGTCCCCTTCCATATTATTTCACGTCGGGGTCATAAACCAACAAATTCAAGAACCTTGTTCCTGCGAGTGGTGCCTCGATCATGTGATGCTAGATAGATATTTTCATAGACCAATGGGCATTTAACAGGTGATGAGGTCAATGTCACCCTGTCCATCCAAACTTCCAGGACATTATAGGCTGGGTTGACCCAGGAAGAGAGGTCAATTTTTTTTGGAGTCTCATTTCCTCATTCACCGGCTATAACTCTGACACAAAGTTCTGGTTGTTCATCCACTTCTGGACTTTGGTCTTGTTCCAGAACTTAAGTTTTGTGTGCACATCTGTTTTACAGATCTGGATTATCTGTATATACTTCCTTACTTAGTCTCTCCTCTTCTAATTTGGGATGCAGAGGTTTGCCAGAATTATCTGTGTTAGTTAGTTAGTTGGGTTATCATCACTGCACTCCGGACATGTCCATAGGTGCTCAGATCCTCCCCTCAGTACGAACCCCAGCGTCCGATGGCCAATAGTACCAGTTCTATGTTGATTAACAAGTCTTCTGGTGTGTCTGGTGTGCGTCTCGTTTTTTGCTATGCTGATCTTAATTCCCAAGTCTGCCATTCTGGCGAGTGATGTGGATTCACTGCCCCCAAAGTCCTCTATCCTTCCCATTTCTCTGAGGGCATAAATAATATCAGCATGATCCATAGGCTGACCGTCGGTGGTGATATCTGTGTATAGACTGTTAGTTCTTCGCTTCTCAAGCAGATGCACTCCACTGTGAAGGAAATATCCCTAATTAGTCTAATTTTACAATGTGTGTCATGGGGCAGTGGATCTATTCTTTATACTTCGAAATGGAGCCCCGAGACCCAGTCAGGGAAGTCTCATAATTCATGGAAAACAGTTTTTAAATTTCAAAATATAAACCTACTTTGATACATTTTTGTTGACTGTAGGGAGCTTTGGTTCAGACATTGTTTTGGCAAATCTGTAGAAACAAAAAAGAAAAAAATGTTAGGCTGAATATATAATGGCAGTCATAAGTTCAGGAAAACCTTTGGCCAAGAGAAACATCTGTGCAAGTCAAACTTTACATGTCGCTGAATGAATTACAAAAGATACTGAAGTTCATACTAAAGACAACACTGCAGATATAGATAATTTATTTCAAGCTAACGAAAGAAGAAGAAAAAGATAAGTTCAGGAAAGTCAAGGGTTGCCTGATTTTGTAACTAAGTAGCTGTGGCTTCATTAGATTTTGCAGCTCAGAAAGAGGACATTTCTACCTTTTTTTTTTTAGCTTAGAAAGTCCGTCATCTTCCGCCACCGCCAAGAGTATCCCCCACGCAGCATGAGCAGCGTGGATTGGGGCTTAACTAGATGGCTGGGACTCACGAGCAGCAGCTACCACATCTCCTGCAGCTTCTTTAATGTTAATTGCTTGTGAGTCCAAGCCATCTAGTTTAGCCTCAATCCTGCCGGAGGTGGCAGAAGTTGCCGGAAGTTTGCAATTCGGCTGTGGCATTATAGTCTGCCGAAGTGCGCAATTGACACGTGATTGAGGCCCTGTTAGGGTATATTTTCTGCCTCGATAATTTAGGACTGTTATTCGGAGGATAGCCGAAATGTATAAATAGATACTATAAAAGATAATTTCTACACATGGTTAAATGGGTAACACCCACCCCCATTTTTTAAATTTTATGTACATCTAGTAGTTAGTACAGCATGTGGATTCTAGTAAAACAGTAACAATAAAAAAAATAAGTTCGATATCTCAGCTCAGAAATGACATACAAGCCTAAATGAGGTACCATTGGAAAAAGATTGTTTACAGCTATCTAACTGTACTGGTTTTATTGGTGTAGAGGAGGGCATTTTGAAAATTTGACTGAAGTATTTACTTTTTTGTACTTTATAATAAAGTTTATTTTTATTTTTCAATGTAAATCAATGTTACTAATTATTCAAAAAGTACAACTGCTACACTGCCGCCTAATAGGGTTGAGGTTAATATTTTCAAGCTTTCTGCTTTTCTGTCGGAATGGGTGGGGCAAATGTTTTACTGAAAGGATTACTTAAATAATAGTAATACCAGAAACTTGAGCTATCGATTAACGAATAACATACATGTTCGACTTCTGCTATACCTGCACCAGGAACTCTTTAGACAGGGGGACACTACTCTTATGTCACAGACCCGGACGGGGAGGTAAGTCAACAAAGAATCATCAACTTTTTCTTTACAGACTAAAAACTCTTGCTAAAAGTCGTGGTTGTTGGTCAACTTCTCGATTCTGGTCTTTTTCAAAACATGAGTTTGGCGTGTGCATCCGTTTTACAGATCTTGATTATTATATGCAAACTGTTGGTTCATCGCGCCAGGTAGATACACTCCTACTTCGAAGGAAACAGACCTAACCTAATTACGACATAGTTTTGTTTTAGGAGGTTCCACTCCCCCCAACCCCCCCCCCCCCCAACCCCAGAGGGGACCAGGAACCGGCACGGAGAGTCAACAGTGTCTGTGGCTAAAGGGGCCTGTTATACGGATCTTTCTAGCCTGCCTGCGCTGTTCAGCTGCCTTTTTTTTTTAATTTGAAACCTCGCAGATCGCTGCCCCAGTTCGTATAGATGTTCGCCATTTAATGCGGTCTATTGCCATCGGCAACCTGGTCGCCCTCTAGATCGCCGGTAGATGACTTCGTCGCGTTCTAGACCATATTTGGGTCTGTCTCCTATAATCGCATCAACACTGCAGGAGTACTTTTCAGAGCTTTTGGTGGCGTGCAGTGCTAAGCCATTTTTATATGGCGCAAATAACATAGTCACAATTATAACTGAACCTTCACCTTCGGGAATACTGGTTGAACGAGGCCCATTTTTATTTCCAGTAAAGCAAGCGGTCTTGTGCAGCAGTCTCCCGTGTCTGTGCACGAAGTGATGAAAAACTGACGCGCGATAAATTGGCTAAAAATGATAAAGAAAAGCAGTGTTGTCGACCTCGCTCTCCCGCCTCGGTCGACATAAAATAAACCGTGAGCAATTCGCTTGTGATTGCGGTTTAGACAAAAACTAATAACTCACAAAGAAAATTATCCAGACACAAAAGGAACAACCAACTAAAGCAAGGGAAGACGAGGCGGGCATCAATGATCTGCGGGATAACCAACAGCTTCTCGCGAAAGAAGTCGCAATGATCAAGAAGGCACTTGCTGAAACAGAGGAGAAGTTAAGAAGAGCATACGAAGAAAACAACAGACTTAATAAGGAACTACAAGCAACCAATAGAGTGATGGAGGAAATAGAGAAAACACGGAAAGAAGCAGCAAGAAGGCAGCAAATACAAACACCTAAACCTCAGGGAGCCGAGACCCAGAAAAAGCCACATCAAATACCAGATAAGAAAACACCAACGCCGCTGATGAAACTTCCGGACTACTATTCAAATAAACCAACGCATCAGGGAGCTGGAGGATCCGAACTTCTTTAACTCAGAACTACAAGATGATGATGTTCCATGGTCATCACCAGAGGAACCATATCGACAGCCAAAACCTGAAGTCAAACGAGGTCGACACCGTTACCTCAAACACTAATACCAGATACGACACAACCAAGGCCAAATTACCGAAACCCTATGTAGGAGAAGTACTTTACAACAAGGATACGAGAAAATCACCAAATAATACCAGACCTCACCAGTATTGCCATCAGTACCTACCCAAGTCAATCAACCGCCGGTCCTTCTTAGGATAGGCAATTTACTTTCCCCGGAAACAACAAACAGCCAAGGAATACCACAATAAATCGATTCAACATCCAATGATCTGGAGCGCAGCACAGGGCCAGCCAAATTACAAAAGCAGCAGCAAGAGCGGAAACCACAACAAATAGAAAGCGACAAATATTGAACACAATCCAAAACCAAATGAGATCGAGACCAGAAAACGTCACCACAAATATAGCTGACAGGAAAGTGAGCAGAAATGTGATCTGACCTAGCTGAAAGTGGTCAACGAAAGAGAATTTGAAAGAAAATTATTCATATTTATCTTCATCAGCAGGAACCTGTGGCGTAGGCCTCGCTTACTCCATTGTAACGCATTTATAACTGTAATTAAAGTCCAGCAAATACCCCCCCCCCCCCCCCCCCCCCCCCCCCGTAGGCTTTCTGGCACATAATTACAGTGTGAGGATAAGTCCTCCACACACACACACACACAAACACACACACACACCACCGTTTCCTCCATTATGTTGTAACTGAGTCATAGTTCATACTAGGGAGAATACTGACACTAAAACTACAACATATCTAAACACATTTAATGAATAAATTGTACAGTGCATAATAAATTTAAACGATTATTTAGAATGGTTTGACTAAAGCGTTAAGTTATAATGCTTACAGGGAACAGGGTATCACGTGGTATTTATCTTCATGTCGTTTGGCTGTTAACCAGATAAATAGTAAGTAAGCCTGCGCAGCTTTCGTGGTTGTACATTCTGTTGGTAACTCATACCCATCTTATGTTACAGTGGCATATGCATTTAGTGAGCGTTCTTTTCGATATGGTAATAGTAATACTGTTGACAAGCTGTAGGTGCTGGGTGAGAAGTTAACCGAGTGCGGTTATTTGTGGTACTGAATAGTAAACGGTAATGTTGAATAGTAATATAGACGTGCGACGACAAATACCTGGATTACGTTTGATTTGCAAATGCGAAGAAACATGGCCACTATGTTGAAAAAAGAAAAAAACCAACTCACCAAAAACCGGTCTCATTTTGATGAGTTGGCTTTTCTTGAAGAACAGTCTTTGCAATCGAATCATGTCTCACTACGTGCCCGAACTAAGCTAGCTGGCGATGTTTGACTACTGCCAAGAGAGGCTCCTGATGTCCTGAAAATTATATGTTTTGTCTCTGACATATTTGTTAATTCTGTGTTCTAAGTAACTAATTCGTAAAATGCGTCTATAAAATTTACATTCGAAAGCCTCAATCCTCCTTCCAACTTCCACACTGAGAGTCCAACTCTAACATACGTATAAGAAAATAAACAATACCAGTGATTTCTATAACTGCGATACTGATTTCGCTCGTCCACATCGAATTCAGCTGGAACACTGCAGATATTGCCATATCAAGCTTTGTCTTGATCTCATTGGTACAACTATCATCGATACATATGCGGGAGCCAAGATATTTAAAGCTTTCAACTTCTAGTTTTTCCCGCTTTTATCTGTAAGTTGGTAGGTGCTTGATTGTTCTAGCTATTTGCCAGAATCTTGCTTTTCTCGGCATTAATTTCCGTGCTATTTTCCACCACAGACTGTTTCTAATTATGTAGTAAGTTCTTGGAGTTCTGCTTCAGAGCCAGTCTGCGGGTAACATATACTGCTATATTGTGTCTTTTTGTGGGTACTTTTTTCCACATTACAGCTCTATTCACAGTCGATTCTACAGGTTACACAATTGCTGACAGTGTTGGAATGAGACACTTGAAAATCAGTAAATGATATATCACGTTATTGAACAACCTCATCCGAATACTGCCCCTATTATTAAGGAACACAAATGCTGTGCCAAAATATTCTTTCGTAAATAGTTAACAGCATTTTAGCTTACCTCACTTACTAAAACACCGGTATATAGCAGTTATATTCTAAACAAACCGTTACATGGTGCTTGACGCCCCTCACCCCCCCCCCCTTTTTCCCGCTGTCTTCTTGACGGCGCGCCTGCTTAGTAGTGCTTAGATCTACCCCCCCCCCCCACTTCCACCCCGCCTCCCCCAGAAGAGTGAGTGAGTGACGTTCAACCCACCAGGTCTGCACATCAAGTGGTAAAAACCTGGTGACACAAAATCCTACCATTCGGATGAGAATTGCCAGGGCGCAGGTCTCAGAAACCTCATTCAACCGTTAAGTTATGTTTAGGACCTCCCACGACAGTCGGGGTGGGGCTGT